ATACACTTTGTAGCAACTTTGGAAATGCGCAGCAATCCAATTGCAAACGTATACTTCCTGTTTACTTTAAAAATATGACATATTTGTATAGCTTTTAAATAATTAGAAAGGAAAATGACCGTTGATATGTGTGGCTATTGTGTAAAGTGGTTTTCATTTAATGCATTAGTGTGCGGTTAAACCAGCACGTTTTACGAAAACCCACGTCTTTTTACTACTTTTTGCATAACATTCAAGACTGCTCACTTCATTAGCTCCCTAGTGTACCTAAATCACATCTTTAGTAACAAAGTATAATAGAAGATTCCACATACACTGTATTAGATATGTATACATACCGAGAGAGAGAGAGAGAGAGAGAGAGAGAGAGAGAATGGTTTTAAAGCCCAATTTAAACAATTATGTATACGTATACATTATATCTTTGACAAAAATGGCAAAACAAATAACCTTTATCAATTCAACCTTAGCTAGCAGCATACCCAAATAATTACAGACTTTTTTCAACGCAAACGAGCAAGATTCAATTTAAGTAACATGTTGTTGGCGTCGATTAATGCCTTTGAGCAACATGGGGCTCTGCGAGTTCAGTATTTTCGCACTTAACTCATTGCTGCTTTCTCTGTTTCTATACCTTACATTTCTATTTATTTTACTCTTAATACATGTTATGGGCCCTTTGAAGATATTCAACACATCTAGATGCGTCTTTGTATGATTATATTTGCCTATTTTACAATAGCTATACCCACCCCTGAGAGTAAAGATCGGTTCAGCCTTTTATAAGCCTCCCTAGTGTTTTAGGGAAGCTGATATCAACCGATAGCCAAAGGGATTATCAATAAAGAGACCTTAACAGCTTTCAGGCGTCCATTTAAACGAAAATCACACTTTTAACCAACTCTACAGGGACCCTGTTTTGTTTGATACCATTGACATTACAGAGTCGATTAAAACATCCCCCGATCTGATGATATCTTCACCTGATGCGAATAATACGATATTTTCCTGCAAACTGGTTGACTGGCCGTGGCAACGTTTCGTAATTCACCTTTAGCAAATAACAGATATTTGAATAAAAATTGGTTTTTATAGTCTCTCTCTCTCTCTCCCTAACTATGGGGACAAATATATATATATATATATATATATATATATATATATATATATATATATATATATATATATATAGTGTGTAGCCTATACTTAAGTGTTTCACTGTCAGCTTGGCGTTTATGTTCTGTACCGCTTTCTTTTTTAAAAATGTGAAGTTACGGTACTGAACGTATTCCGTTCATCATTCATCAATTATTATCCGTACCCCATTCATTCATCATTCGTTAATTGATAAAAATAAGTGATGATAAACATTCAGTCACATTTGTAGCCAAGTCAAATACAAATACAAGACTTGTCAAACAAGCAAAGCATCAGAATAACGTCTTGCGGTAAAATAATATTGTATTTTCGTCCAGATTGTCTATATTAGATACAAGTAATTTGGAAAAAATCTTATTTATAATGCAATTTGAAGACCTTTTGCTACAAAAAAAAAAAAAAAAAAACGTACAAATGAATGTCATATATACGCCAAGAAGAAACGTAACAAAAGAAAAGGGCAAATTGATTTTAATCAACATATATGACAATAAGTAAACACAAGCCGAAATACGTTGATGCCGTCAGCTAACCGATACCCAATATTACACTGTATCATATATGATCCAACTACAGAATAATTATCTTTTTTTTTTTTTTCATTTGCTTTTGTCGAATTATTTCTTATCGTCGAAGAACAATTTGTATGCATTATTAATTGTGGAGTTATGACTTAAGAGGATCGCATTAGTTTGACTTTCAGGTTCCAACTGCCGCATTCATCGTTTTTCATTGTCCTCATAAAAACCAAAACCGCAACTTACCTTTAAGGTGCAAAACGGTCGGTACGTCATTTTTTGTTAGAAAGGATTCTGTGACTTCTCTTCCTATTCTTTTTTGTGGACTTCTTGAGTTGATATCTCGGATTGCTTTATTTCTTTTTGTTATGATTCGAAGTAATATGTTGCTTCCCTCTTTTTCCAGCTACAGCATTGAAAATTAATGGGCGAATCTAAATTTATACCTTTACATGTACTTCACAAAAGGGGACAAAAGCGCAGCAGTGAATGGAACAGGCTTTTCTCATTGGACCATACCGGTAAATTAGATTTTGCAAAGGTATCCAGTAACTAAAACTTGGATGCAACTTCCTTTACATTTCTTATTTCACACTACGTTTGCCTTTGTTTAAAGGCACTTTGCCATGAAATGCATTTTAACCTCAAGAAATAAAGTGTTCTACGCCCCTACCATACATTTCATAGTGTATTGGCCCCGGTGCTCTAAGAAGCGGTCAAGCTACATGTACAGTACTGAAACGGTAATTTTATTATCTGAAAGCCTCATATTGTTTACTTTGAACCATTCCCTCTATCTAACCACAAAATAATTTAGTTTCCACTAATTTCAAAGCATTTAGCTTAGTGCCGTTCTTAACAAACCGTCTCTTGTGGCATTCTCGGGTGTTTGTCAACGCATCCATGCAAATGTTTCCACAAAGTGGTCACACCCGTTTTAATACTGCTAATAGCCAAGCACTGTCGGGTTATTGTTATCAAGGAGATGAGTACTCCCCCTAGGGGTGTATTAAAATCCCACGGGGTCAGTTCAGCTGTTGTTAGTATTGTGGAGGGTGATTAAAGGGAGTGGGCACCGGTGTTATTGGTTGTTACGGGAAGGTTGACGTCCGCTGTGACTGGATGAAAGTAGACCGTCCTTTTGAAAAAGATGACCATTAATATTTCGGTCGTCAGCGGGGCGCTGTCATACTATGAAATTGTAACGGGGTTGCGCGGAAATACCCTGAGTGGCATGTGAAACATGACAATTTGTCTTTTATCGTGCATGTAAAGACAAGAAGCACACCCAAAGTAACGCATGTATATGCACGGAGTAACTATATATGTTGGTTTCCTTTGCAATGTGCCCTTAAGGCTTAAAGATGCATTTGAAGGCCAACCTCCCCCCCCCAAAAAAAAAAAATAAAAAAAGTATATATCGACCTTATATAAACGAAAAGATGTACTGTATGCACTCGTCGTTGGCTATTACCGTTGGCTAATGTTGAACACGCACAGGAAAAAAAAACGCTTGTTAAGTCGTCTCAAAACAAACGCTACATACAAGTTTACAAGTGATTTAAGGTGTATGGAAAAGGATTAGTGTAAGTTGAACATGTGTCACACCTCATCACTCTTAGTTTGTTCGTGGTTACAACACCCTTTTCAGGGGCGGATTTAGGCCGTCTTCTGGGTCTTCCGGAAGACGGTCAGATTTTCAAGTTTACATTGACGAGCAACTAATTTTTTCTGTCAGAAGACGGTCAAGAATGGAGGCTGGATCAACAAAGATAATGTGGAAGACTGTCAGAAAATATCTCTAAAGATAATGTGGAAGACTGTCAGAAAATATCTCTGGATCCGCCCCTGCTTTTCGTGGCGGAAACCTTGTTAGATGGGGTGATTGTTCTTTATGTTATGTTGCAGCAAGGAGTTATCTGTTATAACTCCTTGGTTGCAGGTAAAGCAGAACATATAAACCGGAAAGGGTTATAGCGGTGGCTACATAACTGGGGGAATCTTATTCTTGCATGTGCTTCCCGCCTCTGCTCTGTCGGAAAGCACGTTTGATTTAAGCTAGGACACAGCTGTTATGTTCGATCTTAGGTATAGGGAAAGCTTTAAAGAAAATGCATTTTTGATAGAGCTTGTTATCAAAGGGGGATCTTACGGTACTTTTATTAACAGATATTTTTATTTGCTGTTTTATGGCCGAAATTATTGACAGAACGTGTGCAGTTTTGACATAATGAACATATGAACACGCAGTGGCGGATTTAGGGGGGGTGGGGGGGGGTCAGGAGTAAAAGCAGTAATAGCACACCCCCCTTCAACTTCTGAAAAAAATCACACTTATGGTCCCCTCTTGAAATTAGAATTTTGACTAGCTGAATCATAGTTCTAAACTGTACCAAATAGCACCGTTCGCCCTTTTATAAAAACCAGAATTTTTACGGGGCCCTCTACAGGTGGGAGGGGGGTTGGCTTCGCATCCGAGCCCCCCCCCCCCCCTTTCAAATAATCCTGGATCTGCCTCCGACATGCACATGTGCATGGATTTGGGGACGAGTCGCATACAATGTACGATTTTCATTTTAAGGGAACGTTCATTTACCCTATTTAAACTCGTTAGCTGTGTTTTCACTGTCAGCACACTAAAAACAAGTACGTACCAGGGCATCATTTTCATACGCGACAGTTTTTAGGAATGAATTATTCAAGTGTGGAAGCTTAATGTAAGTTAAATCATTTTGTATAGCCAAATACGGTAATGTCTCGAATTTTTCAATGGGGAAAATTGTGAATTTTACGGATACTATGTATTTTCTTTAGTCATAAATTCTTAAAATCAGAACATTCTCACTAAGTGGTATCAACAAAATGGAAAATTAAAGCAGGCTACCTGTAATTTCCTTTATAGTGCAGTAAAAACACCATAAATGCTATATAAAAATAGTTTAATGATCCCAAAATTATGTATCAATAAGATGGATATTTTCCACATTGAAATGATCGAATCATTACCGTAGTTTGTTGTATCAAACAAGGCAGCAGTAATTGTTTGTTAATCGCGTACTTTGCTGTTGCCATAATGGGATCAGCTGCCTTTCAAATTCTCTAGGGATACAAAAAAGTAAGCGTTCGCCAATTTGGATGTCAAATGAAATTACTTAATCACTTACGTAACTGGGTTAAAGTAAAGTCGTTGGGCATTATGCGTAGATGAGCACTGAAAAATGTGTAGACAATCTAATTAAGGTAACGCTACCAATTTTCTAAAACGATAGACCGCAACAAACAGTTATTCATCCAAAAATCATCTTTCAATTAATATATGTCCTTAATGGATGGGTCGTTACCAACATTTTTTACAAAATTATTTAGAACCGAATGCCTAAGGAAAAAAAGGAGACAAATTGCTATGATGAGCAATAAGAAAAAAAAACAGACAAACCCATCTCTCTCTCTCTCCAAACACTCACAAGCGTACTGGTGTACTGGTATACACGGAGACATTAATGTATATGTACAATACACACCCCTAGATCGCACGAACACGCAAACTCCTTGTTCACAATATACATAGTAACTATATACTATGTTAAATAATTTATCAATTTTTAAAGAACGCAAAAGATACAAAGAATGCATGACATGCTTAGCACCATGAATATACTGAAGCCATATCCGCAATTTTACGTTTACTCTGTCTCATCTCATCTTGGAAGGCTAGGCTTACTCTGAGTGTTACTGGTTATACATCATCTGAATTAGAAATACGAAGCTTTCTCCGGACCCAACCGGAAAACTCCGAATGTGACATGAATTACGGAATCATAAATTACGTTCCCAACCCTTTGAATACGTACACATCTATAGTTTTAAATCAATCGTTTATAATCCATATGGTGTAAAAATAAAACATCGCCCTAAACACAGAAATCCGATAGTCATAAAAATGTTGAATGTGCACAAAAGGAGTTGGCTACCCTGTTGTAGCTCCTTATATACCAGTGACATCAAATATCAATTGTGAACACCTCCTATACCTGATTGATTGCGTCTGAAGCACAACTATCACAATCCGCACACGCGCACCTGTTGCTGACTCATCTGAAACAATCTCTAATCATTATCTTGCTCCTGTGCTTGTCTGCGTGGTGCCTCGTGGGTGTGGAATCTTGGTAGGAGCACCGCCTCTGTTGTCTTTCCTTTCAACTCGCCTGGAGATTCCTTTCGACGGGGTGTTTTTACTAAGATTTGTTCCTCGTTTCTTGGGTTCTTTCAAAAAAGTGTTGTCTTGTTCTCTCGATTTCAGACGCCGGAGGGCTTTGGTTTTTTGTTGTTTGACATTCAGACTAGGGTCGGTTTTTCGAGAGATATTCTTATTACGGCTTGTGGTTTGAGATTTCCTCAGAGACTGATTTGAAGTGGAGTTGGTCACTGTTTCAGGGTCCGAGTCGTTAGTGTCACCCAGCGATCCGGAGTCAGGGGTGTTCGGTAAATTGTAAGAAATTGAGACGACTTTGNCGTTGAGAATGCGGCCTAATGTATATGTATAATACACACCCCTAGATCGCACGAACACGCGAACTTCTTGTTCACAATATACATGGTAACTATATACTGTGTTAAATAATTTATCAATTTTTAAAGAACGCAAAAGATACAAAGAATGCATGACATGCTTAGCACCATGAATTTACTGAAGCCATATCCGCAATTTTACGTTTACTCTGTCTCATCTCATCTTGGAAGGCTAAGTTTACTGGTAATACATCATCTGAATTAGAAATACGAAGCTTTCTCCGGACCCAACCGGCAATCTCCGAATGTGATATGAATTACGGAATCACTAATTACGATTCCAATCCCTTGAATACGTACATATCTACCGTTTTAAATCAATCGTTTATAATCCATATGGTGTAAAAATAAATCATCGCCCTAAACACAGAAATCCGATAGTCATAAAAATGTTGAATGTGCACAAAAGGAGTTGGCTACCCTGTTGACATCAAATAATACCAGTGACATCAAATAAGAATTGTGAACACCTCCTATACCTGATTGATTGCGTCTGAAGCACAACTATCACAATCCGCACACGCGCACCTGTTGCTGACTCATCTGAAACAATCTCCAATCATTATCTTGCTCCTGTGCTGGTCTGCGTGGTGCCTCGTGGGTGTGGAATCTTGGTAGGAGCACCGCCTCTGTTGTCTTTCCTTTCAAATCGCCTGGAGATTCCTTTCGACGGGGTGTTTTTACTAAGATTTGTTCCTCGTTTCTTGGGTTCTTTCAAAAAAGTGTTGTCTTGTTCTCTCGATTTCAGACGCCGGAGGGCTTTGGTTTTTTGTTGTTTGACATTCAGACTAGGGTCGATTTTTCGAGAGATATTCTTATTACGGCTTGTGGTTTGAGATTTCCTCAGAGACTGATTTGAAGTGGAGTTGGTTACTGTTTCAGGGTCCGAGTCGTTAGTGTCACCCAGCGATCCGGAGTCAGGGGTGTTCGGTAGATTGTAAGAAATTGAGACGACTTTGATGTCAAAATCATCTGGATCTGAGTCAGCTCTACCCGTTTGCTGTGGTGCACTGGGTCCCTGCATTTTCACTCGCACTGTAGCATTTGTAGCCGTCCCAAGATTGCTTGGCGCAGAGATAACTGGATTGTCGCCATTTTCTCCCGAGGTCATGACAAGGTCATCATCGTCCCGGATGTAGCGTTTCATGACATCCCGCATTTTCTCGCCATTGGTGCGAAGTAACGCGAGTTCTTTCACCCGCTTCCTTTTCTGTGCTTTCTTATCCTCCAATGACTTTTCCACCTCGCTTATTTTACAGTCTAGATGGGCTTGATACCTAATAAAATGTGGTTGATTTTCAAGTTCGATCAAATAATCGTGCTTCACTAGAGAGTGTTCAAACTCTCTGATTTTTAAAGTGTCGTTATATTCGCACAGTTTCCATTCAAGTTCTTCTAATTTGTTCTCTAGTACAGCGCGAACGCGCGACCCGAGAGGACTGGCCTCCATTTTCTTAAGCAGGGATTCCCTTTGAAGCAGCACCGACTGATATTTGCGACCCGTTGAATTCATCCGTACCTCTACCTCATCAAATCGTCTGCGTAAATCGTCAAATCGCTTCTCGCGTGCCTGTAAACTAGCGGCATCTTTTTTTAGAAATGACAGAAGGTTTTCTTCCGTCTGTATGGACTGTGTTAGATGCTGAATTCCAATTTCGACTACGTTCACTCTTCCTCTCATGTCTTTTGGTTTTACTTTCCCGTCTGGGAGTTCGCGGTATAATTTGTTCGCTTGTGTCCACCACAACTTAGCCATTTCTGCCGATTTGTGACACTTGGAGAATATGTCAGGCACCAATCGGAAAACATTTTCAAAAGCACCGCACTTTATAAATGGTTGAATCTCATAATGACTCTCTTCGTCAAAAATGTCGTCATTTATGTTTGATTCTTTGAGAAGAATACTCCAGGCATTGTTTATTTCATACAATCGTTTGACGGCGTGGACAAATTTTTCTTGGTCGTTTAATTCCGTCACGTCTTGGCTTTCCTCACGATCTAGCGGTACAACCTGCTCGTCTTCTGCTTCGTCTGCTGTTGAGCAGTGCCCGCTGTCGTCTGCGTCATCAAAAGACACGTGCTTTGATTGTTTGATCACTTTCAGATCTCTAGGAGTCAAAGAGCTCCTGTCTAATTGGCTCTCAATGTCAGGGTCGTAAAAATAATCATATAAGCACATATAAACTCTTTCATCAAAATACTTTTTCAACTTTCTCAAATATTCAATATCATTCAGGAAAGTAGAAAAATATTTGATAACGTTTTGCTCTTCTTCTGATTTCATCTTTTTCGTCCCAATTTTATTCGAAAATTTTCCTAAAACTTCCCTCAGTTTCCCCAAAGACGTTATTTCTATTCGGCCTCCATTTTTAACGTGAGCTGCAGCCCGTGTAAAAAATCTGTTTTTCTGAGTAGTTTCAGAAACGTACTCCCTGTTGGAGAGAATTTGCAGCATCCTATACAGTGTTTCTATGGAGAATCGTGACATGGCGTATTGGAGCAGCTTTTCAAAGGCTGTGATTTGCCGGTGCAGGTTTTCGTGGCGCTTCATCCTCGATGCACCGTTCATTTCTTGCGGATGTGTCTAAAATGAAAAAATAAAATAATATTTTGTTATTAAGATTCAAGTTTTCACACACTGTGTTGTAGTATATACAACATCGGTACTTTTGTACCTGAAAGTTTAAATACAAAACATGTTAAATTGAAAAAAAATAATAATAAATAAATAAATAAATAAATAAATAAAATCAGTAGCAAACCTTTCATATGGAAATTACTTATATCGATAAACAATTGTTCCATGCCTCCCCCCACCAATGGTTTCTGTTGTACTCGTTGCATATCACATAGACACGCAGAAAATAATTCACCGTAATTCAAGCCTCTTTTATTAAATCAAAAGGTGAGGTAATCCGTAAACAGTCACTTGTGAAACTACAGTATCAGAAAGAGGGGCGGAGGGGGGGGCGGACTCATCCAAATACTCAGTCGCCACTGAGATGAATTGCTTTAAAATGTAGGCCCTATTTATAACTGAAAATTATGTCAGAACTCAGTGCATCAAACTGTTATTTGCGGATCGAAGTGCTTGTCTTTATGGTCAGGCAAGAAGACAAATGGGACCAATTGAATCGTTTATTTATTTCAATTTTATTTTATCCGGAGGGTCTGCCAATTGTAAGCTACACATACTAGTTTTGAAGTTGATTTATCTTATATTTGAACGAATATACTGTATTATATGAGGGATTATGCTTTTCTTCCAGTGATCAATACATAAAAATACGTCCTCAAATCTGGCGCATTTTCAACGCTAAGCGCTAAATACAAAAACATATATACTTAAACCACAAGAGACTCTATCTGGTGAATCGATTTCATTGTATACATTGTGCAACGTAATACTTAATGTATGTATATTCTACTATGTTTTTCAATCCACTTTGAGACAAAAGGGCACCAGCATATTACAGTAAAAATTTAAACTTTTTCAAACAGCTCACTCATTTTACAAATACTGATAGAATTTAACTTTTTGAATGTTTTTTTTTTCAATTTCAGTGGCTTATAAAAAATACACGAAGCCAAAGAACAATTTTAAATCTTTTGGTATAAGGGGTTTACTAATAACAAACAAAACACTGCTTTATGGAAATGTAATTGTTCAAATGAAATGAGTTATTATTATTGCCATGGAAACGAAGTACATGTAGTATTAGAGGGCGGATGGAGATTTTATTCTAATACCCGCCATCCAACACTGAAACAGACAATCTGGACGTTAACCATGTGCACTGAAAATGATAACTAAACGAATGGAAACCACATCAGACTTGTTTCTATAGTATGGGACAACGCGTTGACAATGTTTATGGAGGAACGGCCCTCTCCCATGTTTGCTGACAATTAAGTTAAGCACATAGAATTGATCAGCACTACGCTTAATGTAATGGTGTGTTTGACAACATTTTGACGACACACTCTCTGCATGACCGATCTATCTGACAGAGAGCTTTTATCTAGCATCGCCTGGTCACAAAAGCAACTTGTTAATACGTGCTCATACTAAGGGTAACTGAGGCGATTTCTTATCGATCTTGGTAACGTTTCACGAGGCCCTTCCGATCAAAGCCCGTTTTATAACGTTAATTTGTATAGAAAGAAAAGGAGGCAATTCACTCGCGTTAACTATACTGTTTCATAAAGGACACGCAGGCTTGGAAATGGATATATAGGCCTACTAGTACAAAGAATACATATACAAAGGGGAAAAGAAGACAAGAAACCGACAATGTATTATGCGCCCGATCTCTATCATAATGGTTTGACGTGATAACCACAACCTACGTCATTTGGATCGATGCAGATTCGCTCCCATTGCACAGATGTGAATCAGCCTGATACTCGTCGTATATATATATATATATATATATATATATATATATATATATATATATATATATATATATATATATTGATTATCTTCAGCAAGCTGCACGCCGAGCTTGTTCTGTTTATAGGCGATGTTTCAGGCATAAACACATTTATTGATTACAGTCCTTTAACTAATACCGTATATAAACACGAGTCAAAATAGATGCGATCAAACCTATGAAAGAACTTACGATGAACACTTCGACAAACTGATAGATTTTTAGTCGAAGGCCACCTTGAGAAAATAATTTCTCTGACAAACAAAAACAATTTTAAAGTGACTATCAAGCTATCCAGCTTTCCTGTATAACCAACCGCAGACTTACTGCAAACCCCGTTCATATCACCTTCGAAATACTGTAATAGCGTACTGGTAAATTTGATGCAGACAAATTTAGTAGCTTATAACAGAGCTATTAAAACGTATTTCCAAATCATGCATAATATATAAGTATATACTATAGATTACTATTTTGGGATAAATGCCGATACTTTCACCTTTGAGTTCAACAAAAGGTTCATTATGCAGGCTACTCAATATGTTTTTGACTAAAATATATATGCACCGTTACCGCAAACATGTCAAATACGATATTAATTGAGTTCAACGGCCGTCTCAATAATTGGAATAGATTGCATTATTTGTTGTTTTAATGGTAGTCTAATGATCACATGAGGTACGTGTACTAGGGTCATGGTCTACCAGGACCACAAGTTTCGTCACCAGATATTCACGAATAATTCTCGGTTGATTCTGTGCGCGTTTCCTTAATCTGATGATAATTTAGCACAGAAATAACGTACCAAGCTGGCCTCGGGTAGAGAGTCAAATACTTAATAGAGGTGTATAGTTAATGTATGTAGCAACACTTGCTGAATGCTTCTGTGTATATTTTTTTTCTAAAATTCTCTCTCTCTCTCTCTCTCTCTCTACCTACCTACCCCCTATCCCTCTGTTAATGTGTTTGTGTACATATTTGCGCGCGTGTACCTGTGAGTGTGCGTGAGTGTTTAAAAAAGGTGCGTTATGTCTATCCGTGGTCAAAATACCAATGAATTGACCTAAATTACCCTGAGTGTCAGAGCAACGTTAAAGCTAACTAGCTTAAATATACCTTGTGATGGAGTCGCTTTTGTTGCTATGGGTTATATATGAAATCAAGATCGAGCTGACAATACCGGAATCTAGAACCTAGGGTAACTTACATGTAAATACGACTATCACAAAAACGTGGAATTATCAAAATGCTAGATATGATATTATCCCAAGATATCATTCGTGCATGTTTATATTATTAGTAAGAAACGCAGTATGAAAACACACACACACACACACACACACACACACACACAAAATGACTGACTGTGTAATTAGTTTGGTGTGTAATGAGGCTAAAAATGTTATTGACTAAATCAGCATGCTTATACAGGTACGTATACCTATATATGCATGTGTACGGATTTTATAAACACAATGAAAAAGAGAGAGAAAGTCGAGGGAGAGTGAAAGTGTAAATCTCAAATCAATCTCAAATTTGACGGAGTGCATCTGACACAAATGGGCCCAACCTTCACATAAATGATGCAACCTGCTCTTACGCAGATAGTGTATATATAACATACACTTGGAGTCAACCTCATCATTTTTTCTAATCCAATAAATGACGTGCCTCTCTTTGCGCATTCAATTAAGGTGTCTTACCTGTGTAAATGATACAAATACTAGTGGTAATTTGTATCGAAATAAAGTACCACAGTAAGTAAACGTAACTCTGTCCAATATAACCGGAGACAAACACGTAATAGCGCACTGTCACACAGACACAGAGATAGCAAGCAAACAAACCGCAATAGAAATCGTGATATTTAATTTAGATAATATTACTTAAATGCGATAAGAATAAACGTTTCGAATACAATTGCTGTGTGTATGGTTCTTTTATATCTGTAAAGGCGGGTGATGTAAGTTGCCAGATTTTCGTACGTGTGTAAAATATGATTAAGACAAGTAATGGGGAATTCAGTATAGAACCACAGCATACAGTCAGTGGAACGGGAGGGGCAAAGACAGGGATTTTCGTCGAAATAATAACAGTAATAATTATATTGTGATACATCATGTGGACAGTTTTCATTTAACGTTCTATGAAGCATTTTTGTATTTCAATTTCATCTATTTATGCACTTCCCTTTAGATATCCACCTATCCTCAGTTGGCCAAGATCTCTCTCTCTCTCTCTCTCTCTCTCTCTCTCTCTCTCTCTCTCTCTCTCTCTCACACACACACACACACACACACACACGCACACACACACACACACACGAACACGCACACACTTCTAGACTCCGAAGACTGCAGGCTGCGGTGGGAAGTGAAGGGGGGTTATCGAAAAATAACTTGGGGGTATTTGTGAAGTGTTATCCCTCACCAATCTTTTAGCCCATCCTATATATGTCTCTTACTTTGTCTTGACGTCTAGTTGTGGCCACCCTGTAGCACATTTCACCTGATCCCATGATGATGCACGTGTACATCAAAGGCATGTATATTGCAACAGCTGTTCCCGAACAATTTTTCTCAGCCCACAGCTTTGACAGACTCCTCTCTCTCTCTCTCTCTCTCTCTCGTTTATATTTTTTTTCTCCAATTACTCGAACCCAATATGAACAAAGCTATGGACCAGTGACAACTTCACAGTACCGAGCAATACGAGTAATGTCAGTAATCCTGAGAACACCGACCCAATAACACACCATACATGTAACTAATGAAGGTAACATTCATTGTCGTGTTAAATACATCCCCCGTCACTCACCGAATAGAGAGCCCACAACTCTGCCTCCGCCATCTTGGTTTCAGAATAAAAACGCGAAATGTCAGCTCTTTCCGCCTGTTGTCTTCGTTTCCATAGCAATAAAGTCAACTGTGGAAGTTCCACAACTCACTGCGTATCATTAACTGACTCGCACTCCCAGATGTGAGCGTTCCTCTTTTACTGGGGAGAGACGGACGCATGCAAACTTTAATAAAGGATTGCGCACTTTCTTTTGTTTTAGTGAATGGGATTTTGATTAGGTGCCTGTATTTCATCGCGAGCTATTGTTTCTTATACTATTTCCTATTTTCAGTTTAAGGTGTAACGATGTTGTACTACTCTTTCATATAAAGAGTGAAAATGAAACTGAACATATTTAAATTATTATCCTCTTTATTATTTAAAATACTCATGTTGAACATCAAGTAAAAGCGCTCCCCATGTAAACAATCTTAAAATGCATATTCATTTATACCTATACATTCATGTAGCATAGTATCCAACGAAAGCCTGTAAAGATTGAAGGCTATATTTTTTAAAGCAGTGGGCGTAGTGCACTGGAACAGGAAGTTATCCGCCGCCTTGTCTTCTCCCCAAAATTATCTCAGATCAACCCAAAACAAATATTTCATCTTAAATGGCAGTTACAAAATCGCTCTTAGCATATCGATTCTCTAAACAATAACTAGTCTAGCTCTTTATTTCTGGTCATTTTGCATTAGAGACACATTCGATTTTCTACACAGGTCTATATATCCTTGCTGGTATAGATTAAGGAAGTGCAGTAATTGTTAAGGATTCGATGTCATTGCTAGGTCTATTGATGCCAATTGGGTTAACCCACCCCCTTTCCCCTATACGCCGCTCAACATCGACCCCCCACCCCCCCTTTTCTTCGTCCCCATCTTCACCATTCTATGTTTGGGTTTGAGTAGTAAACAGATTAGCATGTGTACGGTATAAGGTTGGGGTGGGGGTGAGAAACGAGGGTTATCTCTTCTCGTTGATCATTGAATCCACGGGCATACTGTAGTCTCTGACATAAACGATTCCTCTTTACCTGGATTCCAAAACCCACGATTCTCTAAAGCTTCTGTTTTTAATGCATGTCCTTCCCTCCCCCCATCCTTCCCCCTCCTTCTCTTTCTCTCTTTCTCTCTCTCTCTCTCTCTCTCTCTCTCTCTCTTTCACACACACACACATACACACACACACACACACACACACACAAGCACACCGTCTCTTACTTAGCAAACATTAACAAGTTGTTAAGAGCCGCAGTCATGATAATATCATCACGCGGTCGGTGTGTTCCATTCATTTCCATGCGGCAGAACAAAACAGCAGAAAACACAGACTCCGTTGCTTCGCTACCACATCGCCTAACATTGATACTGATTAAAAAACTGTCACCAGAGCACAAAGAAAAAAGCAATCGATCCTGAAAACGTACAAGTGCGAGGGACGCTTTAAGATCTTAAGCTATGGGAATTAGGAGCGAAAGAATTCTTCTTAAGAGGGGCGGATCAAAACTTCATTTTGTTAAGTAAACAGGTGTACATAAGCTTACTTGGGAAGTGACACGGCTTAACGCTTTTAATCAATTTCTTTATTTTGTTGATTGAGATAAAGATGACCTTAAAGCTTTATATCTCTTGGGTGTGTGGTCGGATGGGAATAACGTTCTGGACAGCTATCGCTGAGATAGACGTTAATTAACCGTGGTTGTCTTTTCACAATTTGCATATTATGTCAGTTGCTGCGTTTTTTTTTTCTTTGCAGCTGCTAATTCTTATATGTATATAAGTCCCTTTGGTTTATTCCTATTTATTTCATATTATTTCCTTACAAGTGTGTGAGTGTGTGTGTGTGTGTGAGAGAGAGAGAGAGAGAGAGAGAGAGAGAGAGAGAGAGAGAGATCTTGGCGAGACGACTGTGAAGACAGTTGAAAATCAAGGGAGACTATAGACCAGTAAACAGATGGAAATGATGTATCACAATGTTCGCTCCTATAATTATCACGTCAACAAAAATCCCTATCTTTGCCCCTTTAGTTCGCTGTGGTTCTTAAATTTATTCCCAATTACCTGTCTTTATCATAAATATTTTACACACGTACAAAAACCTGGCATCCTACGTCACCTGCTTGTTCAAATATAAAAGAAACATACACACAGCAATTGTATTCAACTCGATTATTCGTACTGCTTTTAGTAACATTACCTAAATTAAATATCATGATTTCTACTGTGCCTTGCTATCTTTTTGTCTGTGTGTTAGTAAACAGTAACGTGTTTGGCTCCAGTTTCATTAGACAGAGTTACGTATACTCGCTGTGGCGATAAATTCAGTTAGAAATTGCCACTAGTATTTGTATCATTTATACAGATGCAAGTACCTTAATTCATGAAAAGTTCTATTATTGATGAGATTGACTCAGAATGTGTATAATATGCACTATCTACCTAAGGAACAGGTTGCAACCTTCGTGTGAAGGTTATTTGCTTCACCCACACGGGCACTCACCCCCCACCCCCCATGCCACCCACCCACCCACCCACCCACCCACACACACACACACACACCACTGCTGACAGCAGCCTTGGTTTGAGCTCTGTTCTGTTGAGCTCAGCTGTAGACGCTCAGATTGTGATCCAGACTCAACTAACGCAATCTCCCAGTGCCATACTCCCAGTGCCCAGTCCTCGTGAAAACATAACCTCATTATAACCAGTAGGCCCGGGATTTTGCTAAGGGAAAGGGGGTCAAAGAATCAATAGTTTTTTCAATGTATATAAAAATTAACGGTTAGCCGGCAGTATCGGGGCTACTACTAGGGCGGATGGGAGCTGTACCTGGTAAAAAATAAAAAAGAAACTGACTAAGGTTCCTAGCAGACTACCCTTCCTATCATAATTTAAAGTTGGTTAGTTTCTGTTTTTACATTTAATTTCTTCCCTGATTTTTGTTCAACCCAATGTCGTTTTGCTGGTATTTTGCTGAATAGTTCTAGTAAATTCAATTGTTCCGACCTCCCAATATGAAAATGTACCTCTGAACCGTCTGCGTCCAAGTGCTAATTGTTGTTTTTTTTTTTAAATTATAATCAACCTCTGTTTTAGCGAGGAAACGATACCCAAACACCTTGTTATAGACCCAAGACTGTAGACACCACCTCTGACTGATGAAGGAATATGAAAACAAGAAAATCATTGCGATGAAAGATGGGGTATATTTTTGTGTTTTTAACGCAAACATCTTCTGGTTTTGGATACTTCAAATTAGAAGTATATAATTGAAATGAAAGATTAGGTATAGTTTTTGTTTTTTTATTCTTTTTTCAAACCGAAAGACTGACATTTCAAAAGTACCAATAAGAAAATGAAGAGACACACTTTCACCTTATTTGAATACAAAATACTTAATCATCTTTTCTTTTCTTTTTTTTAATTTTTTTCATCTCTTAATTAAATATCTTCCGGATACCACAATCTTCTACTCCATCACTGGATGCAACGCTATCAACACAAGACAGAGGAAGGAATCGAAGTTCTAGAGGCGTATTGTCAGCAGAGGAAACACCTGAAACCCTAAATGTTTAAATGCTCTAAAAGAATATAATTAAAAAAAACAGCTATGAGGGCCACGAACAGCAGAAAAATAGGGAAAATACTACACACATTTTAAATGGCGTCGTAAGGTGTTAGCACTCATGACATGGGAACATCATTTGCAAAATTGGGTCAGTTAAAGTCATAGCAGGAAATCCTGTTTCCAGTTCAGGAACAATTAAGTCACAACTTATAATTAATGTACTGATTTTTCATCAGGAGATAACGAAATGTATTACGTTAAGAATTCATTTGCAAATTGCCGGTATTAAAAATTGCATAATTATAATTGATGAAGTCCAACTGGCAGTAGATAAGTGAGACGGTTAATTACGTTATGGCTTTGTGAGTCTCATGTTTAGCGTAACCGCTGCAATAAACCAGCGACGTTTACCTCAGGTGCTGCTAGTAGCCTCTCACAGATTTGTTCTCTTCTTCAATTCTGTACACTATACTAAAGATACCTGTAATATCACAGTGTACGTTTTAACGGCTATGCTAATAGATTGGAGCCGTGTTTATTAATCAAGTTGAGTTTACTGTTATAATTAGCTATCAAGCAAAAAGACTGCATCAAAAAACTAAAACCTTTATTCCAGCCGTCCTGTGGATAAGGAAAATCACTCGAGCGCTCAAGATACCAAGTCCAGCAGTCGTGACTATTTCTTTTACAATATAATTTTATAGCAACAGTTAAGGATGAAAGAAAGTAAAAAAAAAAACACACACACACATACCAGTACATGCTGTCACTCAAACACACACATCACACGTGAACACGTGCTTTTATCCTGTTATATTGCAGAAAAAGCTTATCACACACGTACACAAACACACACACAATAAAATATCACACGCTCACACACACGAGCTTTTACTCTCTTTAGCTGTCACTTTGACAAAATGTTTGTCCACTATGATCCGTATTCCATGGTCAACCTACAGCAGATGGATCGAACATTTAGTTCAATAAATATAAGACATAATCGCACTCATATAGTCATGTGCACCACATACCCCCTGTACACACCACATGTACTGTACACCTCCCTGCCTGATTGTGGTATAAATATGTTGGATTGAGTGTTCTGTGAGACAAGAATGACTACCTTCAGTAATAATAGTCTACTCCAATATGTGGTTAGCATAAAGTTTACAAGATATGCAAAATTAAAGCTATTACACGGTGATCACGCACAAGATTAGAACCATGTATGCCCCACAAAGAACATACATGTACGTCTAGAGTAAGATTTGATGTACCAGTACACACTGATCGTGACTTGAAAACCTGGTATCCACTGCTGTGTTACGATGTTCAGGAATTCTGATGGACTTTCAGCCTATATTGTCGTGCTCCTGATTGTGTGTATTGTGATGGCAAATACAGGTACAGTAATGACGATATCTTTTCCCGTTGTGTCGGGGAGTTTTATTTATAACATGGCCGCGACACGAAACTATACCTTGGGTAAAACTTCAGCAGTATGTTGTTCATAATACGAGTGTATATTAATTTTCCATTCACTATTCATGTTTTGTTGCCTTCAGTAGCACATATTGAAGTTCAGAAACAAGAAGGGGGCAAACAAGTATTTTTAAAACACGGATGTATTTAAGACGGAGTCAAAAAGAGACAAAGCGACTTCTTGTTGAGGGTGGTGGAGTGGGAGATGGGGAAGGTGGACTAAGTAGTGTCTCTCATTTGAGTTGTTTTCTTGTCAGTCCATCTAATTTTCAAATATCTACCATAACGACGCTTTTTGGTACCGTATTCGCGCTTTCTTCGTAGGCACATCATTCACAGATGATATTTCGAAATGCACGCAGACGACGGACGACGGTTCTAGGGTCTCAGAGACAGGTCGGGCGGACATGGTTGCAGGCGAGTGTCCAGGGCAGGGGCCGTGTCGTGACGCTGACGCTGTTGACCCATGCGCGGAGTCACAGTTTACGATGGACCAAAGTCCTGGTCAACACAAAGACTCGTCTTTCGAACCTAGGATCGAAGAAGACACCACGGTAAACAACGACGACGACATTCAGCCATCACTGATTCCAAGTTTGTTTTCCAACGTACCACCGACAATAAACTTTGTAAGACCGGATCAAAAAGGTATTTTTCACCTGAAGTCAATACAAGAATTGAATTAGAAACTTTAATAATTAGAGATAACCCTATACAGTAATTCTTTTTTTTTTTTTATACAGGAACATGTTTTTTAAACTAACAATAGCGGGTTTATTGGGGCGGGGAGGGGGAGCAGAGAGGGGGCATCGGGTACATCCTTACCACAGGGTCCGCTAGCTATTTTAGAGATTATGTTTTATTTGTTTCCATTCAGTTAAACAGTTCCCATCGGCAATAAAAAATCGATTGAAGTATGTGGAAGGCATGAATGGTATAGTTGAAAGTTACGTTGTGCGATCAGGATTTTCCGTCACGTCAGGTAAGATTTGTGTCCATAGCACTCCAATTATCATAGTTTGTGTCCGATAAAGGGAAAGATTAGATGTCTCGTCTTGATTTTCATTATCTCGCAATGCGATAGATTGTTATGTAATAACGTTATGGTAAACTCACGGAGATAGCAATTATCAAAAAATTGACAGTGTGTTATTTACTTGAGCTGAATCGGTTTTATTGCTGCAAGTTATATATTGTTCCTTTCCCTTCTTAGATTTAAAAGACGTTTAACGCTGAAAAAACGTGATACTTTGTACGCCGGGCTCATAAATCTGCCATCTATCGACCTTTAATTAGCAGTTTAGAAGAGCTGGAACAGGCGGCCAACACTTTATTGGAAATATTTATTGGAAATAGTAAAAATATAATTTTATAAAAAAGCAAATACGAGTATATAAATTGTCATGTTTCAGACACCAACAATTATATATTGCACTTTGGGATTCCATTTCAACCGCAGGACACGCAACTTAACAAACACATCAGGCCACAGTCAAAGGTAAATATGAACGTACATGTATAGCCCTAAATATAGGAGTTCCATGTTATTTATTTACTTATTTATTTATTTATTTATAAGATCTTATGATAGGCTCATGTAGAACTTACCTTCTATGATACTCGTCGGTGTGTATCCTTTTCCATATATGCGGGTATATCTACATATCCAAATATACTCTCTATTTTAAAATACCCCGCAGTTAACGATGTACGGAAGACAATTAAAAAAGAGATATGCATTTTTTTACAGTTCAATCACATTCCTGCCAGTTGGCATTTGGGGTGTAAGAATATGCTGGCTTGGGGCCTGGTGCGACAGCAAAGGAAATACGGCGAGGAAGAGTACGGTTTCTTTCCCAAAACTTACCAATTCCCCCATGACAAGCAAGCTTTCAAGAGAGCTTGGGACGCCACTCCCGCAGGCGAGATGTGGATTATTAAGCCGGTATGAATGTCAGACTTGCTTAATTAAGCTGTAATTGAAATGCATGTTTGCAAGTGCTGCGAGTGAACAGTTCCAATTTACAGAAAACGAGTTAGTGCAAAAATTTAAAGCATAAAAGTGTCATACGTTATCCGCAACTTAAATAAATAAATAAATAAGTAAATAAATAAATAAATATAACACAACTCATCATTTCATTAAAACAGCTTCCTAACAAGATTGAATACACCATATTTCAATATTTTATTGAAGTGTAGTTTATCAGATTTAGTAATATGCATACATATGATACTTAAATGAAGCAAGTGGGGTTTTAAAGGCTAGTCACAAGCGAGTGTAAATGTGCGGTCTACAGTGTATGTAATCCTGATATGAACGCAACCTGTGGTAAATGATATCATTTGTCATCTGTTTGTAGGCATGTATGTCAGGAGGACGGGGAGTTAGTATACTGACAGACCTGAAAGAAGTCCCTAACGACGGTGTCGCGCAGAGGTAGGTGAAAAACTGTGGCTGGAGCCAGGTAAAATAATAATAAGTAAAGTGACAACAACCCGTTGTTGGACAGGTAGACAGACAGACAGACAGACAGGCAGACAAACGGACGGACGGACAGGCAGGCAAACAGACAATAGGCCCAATAAATTTTAACCAGGTTCCTTATTTTATAAAGAACATTAAAGATGCAGATAAAGCGAGAATACATGTCACGTCATTGCAACATAACCCAAACTAATGTCACCATATACTTCAGTTTCAGAAAGTTTGACTGTAAAAATGTTGCCTTGTTTCGTTTCATTATTTTCTTTCATTTCGTTTCGAAAAGGGAAGAATGGGCAGATCAAATTTACGACTACTTTTTCAAAGTTTAAAAGGCTTTTTTAGGCTGACGGTGTAAATAATTTGCTGTATTCTTTCCTATATATTTTAAGTTTTGAGTTGTTTGAAAAACTGGTGGAATTAATTCGTAAGCGTAACAGGGAATATTCGCAACTATGCTTGTTATGTATCTTTAAAACTCTAAAACATCTGTTCATTCTAGATACCTTCTAAACCCCTTGTTGATAGACGGGGCTAAGATGGACCTAAGGATATACGTGTTAGTGGGAAGTATAGACCCACTTAGGGTGTACATCTTCCCTGAGGGTGAAGTCAGAATAGCCATGGAGAAGTGAGTTATTATTTTTATTATTATTTAAAGTTTTCGTTGAGAAAAAAAATGCCGTGGTCATTTTTTAAGAAGGTTTTTGGCAGAGGACGCTGATACATCTTCTCTCTGTCTGTCTGTCTGTCTGTCTCTCTCTCTCTCTCTCTCTCTCTCTGTCTTCCTCTCTCTCTCTCTCTCTCTCTCTCTCTCTCTCTCTCTCAGGCGGTCATATTCACATACGGCTTCTTGGACGTATAAAGAAATCACAAATAAGTCATGGACATGCCGGTACTATCGTAATAACCAGCTCCTTAACCGTGGTTTTTATTATTCAGCTCTTTAATCGTGATAATTGCGTTTAAACATTATTTCAGGTACTCAATGGACAATTTCGACAGGAGTGACGTACATTTAACTAACTTTGCCGTCAATAAGCTAAATGCGGAATTCACACAAGACAAGCTATTTGATATCAGGCGGTAAGTGGCATGCATTTTTAAAAAAACAACACTAACATCGACTCTCGCTGAAAAGGGTAAGATTAACAGACTTCCATACCTCCTCCTGGTTTTGAGTAGAATAAAGAAAAGCTGGTGATTAAACCAGTGAGCTGGAAATAGCAGGTGTGTCTGTTTGTTAAACTGATTGTATTCAGCGAGAATCTCCTTAGAGTTAGTGTGCAATAGCAACATGCATTACGACTTAACTCATTCTAAACGGCCCCTAAGTCTCCAGCTCAGCAGTCCTCCATCTGAACACTTCGTTTTAACATTTTTACCCTTATAATAATGAATAATGTTACACAGCCATGTATCCCCCATGTATCTATGCAGTTATCTATTGGCTTGATTTTCTTAATTCCGTAGTGCCTATGAATGTATTATTTGATTTTATATAATCAGTTTTATTTCAGAACACTTACGTGGTTTTGGCACCATTTAAAGGAACATTATGGTGCTGAACGGCAGCCAATTTGGGATAAGATTAAAGATATCGTAATTAAATCCATATTAAGGTGAGAGGTTGGCATTATAATAAAACAACGAACAATTTATTTACTTAATTACTTAATAAAAATCAGTTCATCTATCTCATTTGAAGTAATTAATCAATTAATTAATTAAAATGAGATAGTTGCATAGCTGAAGTTGGCAAAAAGCCAAAACAAAACAAATTTTTGTTTTAATCTTTAAAAATGATTTAATATTGTTTTTGTTTTAATAAATGCTAACCACGTACTTTACAATATGAATTTCAGCGGGGAAGAATTCATGCAAGCAGGTACGAATTCCTATGTGAAGAACAGACACAGCGTATTCGAATTGTTTGGATACGATATCTTCATTGATGATAATTTGAAGCCATGGCTTATGGAAATAAACGTATCACCAAAGTAAGTGAAGAAACAGGAATAGTGCTGAAATTCATGAACGATTTCCGCAGGAAAAAAAGAAAGCTGTGTATTAAGCGTATCAACAGATTATTTGTCAGCATAATTACATGTAACTTCTTTTAAAATTTTCAAAGATCCGTAGCGTCACTTATTTACGTCAACAAGCGTCAATATTTCCCGCACGAAAATGCAGTAGTACGTATCGAAATAGCAAAAAAGCATTAACGCAGTAGTGGTGTGGAGCATATTTGCAGTAGAAATGCAGCATAGCCTACTGCAATTCTACTCCAAAAAGTACATAGGTTTGTACAGAGAGGAGCATAAATGCAGTAAATAAGCAGCATGATAGAAGCATGTTTCAAATATGCTAATTAGCTCCCAAATTGAAGCAGATTTGAAGCATGTTTGCAGTATGATTGCAGTAGTCTACTGCAGTTTGCAGTATGATTGCAGTAGTCTACTGCGCTGGAGTATCTACTGCGTTTTCTTGCGGGTTACGTCACTTATTTATGTCACACTCCCGTTTCGTGGTGTTAGATGTGACACGTTGAAAGTTTGCATGCTGGTTTGTGTGCGATGAGGCATTGTGTAAAACAAAAAAAAAGCTGTCACTTTTTTATAGAATATCAAACAACACCCTGAAAGAAGTGCGCGGCCCAATGCTTGCTGACATATTAAACATGGCGGGAGTTCAGATACCAGACGACGACGGAGACAAGTCTCAGGGGAACAGGTAATGTCATTATTTAAACACAATTATTTTAACACCGTTCGCTGGGCGGGTATGGGCGGCCAAAAGGGCAAAAATTCATGTCGTCGATTCAGTTATGTTTCGTCGATTCACTGCCTTCCCATCGATTCAGTTTCAAGTTTAAACGATCCTGTCATAAATTCAACATCTACTTTCGTCAATTCAATTGTCAAACATTTCTCATCTACGGTGTATTAAAACCAATGCTGTCACTATTTTCGTCGATCGTGTAACTATTCTCGTCGATCGTCTTATCTCGTCAATCGTCCAACTAATCTCGTCAATCGTGTAACTATTCTCGTCGATCGTCTAACTATTCTCGTCGATCGTCTCATCGATCGATCGCCAGAGGTCGCTGCGGTAACAACACGTGCTTCTGTCTGTCAATCACGCGGTAATTTTTAACTCGGCCAGCCATGGTCAGAGTTGAAAACAACTAGAAAATAATGTCCCTACAACCGAATATATTTTAATTATTAACAAATAAAATTGAAATTGTTGAGAAAATTTTCTTATTTCACTAGCAATCATTTTGTTGTCTGCCATTTTGATAGTCATGTGATAGGCCAATGTGCTACCACAGCGCCCTCTGGCGATCGATCGATGAATGATGAGGTGACATTACAGGATCGACGAGAACAGTTAGACGATCGACGAGAATAGTTACACGATCGACGAAAATAGTTTGACGATCGACGAGAAAAGTTACACGATCGACGAAAATAGTGACAGCATTGGTTTTAATACACCGTAGATGAGAAATGTTTGACAATTGAATTGACGAAAGTAGATGTTGAATTTATGACAGGATCGTTTAAACTTGAAATTGAATCGATGGGAAGGCAGTGAATCGACGAAACATAACTGAATCGACGACATGAATTTTTGCCCTTTTGGCCGCCCATACGTTAGCCTGTAGTATTGGGGATACTATACGAAACAAGTACCACATGTGCAACGTAATGGGAAACGGACTACGGTTCCAATCGGACTACATTTCCAGTCACAATTTTAAATAGGACAATTTCAATAGCGGATTTAGAAAAATTATGAAAACAAGTCGAACTGATATTCCCCTCTTTGAATTAGAATTTTGACTGGCTGATGTATAGTTCTTAACCTTTCCAAATGGCACTGTTTGCCCTCCAAAACATTTGAAGGGGGGCGAGGGTCGGCTTCGCAATCGAGACCTGTCATTCCTGAAAAATCGGACCCCCTTCAAATAATCGTCGGTCCGCCCCTGCGCACAGCCAAACTGGCCCTCTCTGTGAGAAAGTAGAAAGTTTCTATTTAATCCCCACTCAGCAACGAAGCTTCCGTGGCTCCGTGGTAACGTCGCAGGCATAGACACAGCTTGACATTTCTACACGGGTTCGAATCCCCAAATTTCCGATATTCCTTATTTTGCTCGAAATATTTTTTAAAAATTGCCTTTGATTACTATAAGAGGAAACTCGTATGTTAGGATGGCGGGCGGATCGGTCACGGCGCAGTCGGTAGCTTGGTTGCAAAAAAACACCAAGCCATCAGCAAACCATGGTAACGGCAAGTCATGAGTTCGAATCCCAGATGACCCATGTCAGTTCACCTTAACAACGAGCTGACATCGTAACCGAAAACGAGACTAACCCTCGTGTGTTCTAGCAAATTACCTTTTTGCCTAAAAATTAGGTATAGTTTAGAATTTGTGATCGATTTTACAACTTATTGCTAGTAATTATCATAAAGTCTGCGCTGTCAGTTATATTTCTTTTCTCTTTGCTTTAAAGTCTTTAAAATGATACTTACTTGGGGATGGTCATTGATCTCTACCCTTTACCAACTACGCAACAGATCAAAATTGAATCAAGTCAGTACCTTACCCGACATGGCGTCATGCATGTCATACAGCCCTTTCATTAAAAAAATAAAGCTATCTGCTCGTTGGGATTATCAGCAAGAATTTTTTTCAAAAGTCGCATTGCTGCTATTACTTTACCTAATCATGCATTTTGTTTGTTTTTTGTTTTTTTTATCCCCCCCACCCCCCACCCCCCTTTGGTCTTGCTCATCAAGACTGTTCATACATTCATACAGTCCCCGAGGCAACTCTACAGTCGATGTTTGAAATGGCAAAGACTACTCACAACTAAAACCGCCAATTTGTGAACTGCTTTGGCTGTCTGTGTGCTCTATAACGTCACAGGTGAAGTCAAACGTAAACTCAGTGTAAAACAAAATGAAAATGCATCTGAAATCATCTAAATAGGAACGTTCCGGGCAGGCTTATAAAAAAATGACGTTACTTGAATTGATTCAGAAGCTTTCCCGTTATAGCACCACGTTACTTGTAAACTGCGGCCAGCAGAAAAAGATGGGATCTTCCCGGCGGGATTATTTGCCAAATATATTTTTTCTAATAATTGGCTTCTTCGCAACAACCCCACAGTCGACATTTGAAATGGGCAAATACTACTCAAAACTTAAACCGCTAAGGTGTGAACCGTTTTGGCTTTGATTGTGCTCTATGGCGGCACAGGTGAAGTTAAAATCAGTGTACATGTAATCTCAGCAGGGAATTACAGTATATCCGATATAATTCCCTGATCTCAGTAACCTCAGTGTAAAACAAAATGAAAGTTAAAGCATATGAAGTCATCTAACTAGGAACGTTCTGGGCAATAAAAGCGATCAAACTTGAATTAATTCAGTAGCTGTCCTGCTTTAACACCACGTCATACAGTGGCGGATTTAGAGCGTCCTGAAGAAAGGAAAACACTTATTTTCTTCTCTTGAAATTAGAATTTTCATTAGCTGATTCATACCAAAAAAGGCTTCGTTTGCCCTCTAAAACACTCCAAGGGGCCCGAGGGTCGGCTTCTTATCCGAGACCTGTCATTCCTAAAAAAATCGTACACCCATTCAAATAATCCTTTATCCTCCCCTGGAGAGGCTGTCAATTCAATGTTTGACTATTACGTAAGATTATCACCTAAGTGGCTGATTTTATGTGCCTTAGGGCCAGTGAAAGGGAGCAGTCCCTCCCTCCCCCCCTTCCCTGGACGAATTACCTGTAAGAACCCGGTAAAGTGGCACGGTATACAGTCTGATCGCGATAGATGCAGCATTGAATCCGAGGCTAGAGCAAAAATGTTAACAACTTGTGTAGCATTGAATCCGAGGCTACTTGCAAACTTGTGAAGAATCAGACCGTCGCCTTAAATAAACGTTTGACTACGCCAAACTTCCCTTTTCTTTTTTTAATGGAACTATGTTCACTTTCCATTTTAGCGAAGAAACGGTGCCCAAACACCTTGTTACAGACCCAAGACTGTGGACACAACCTCTGACTGATGAAGAAAAACAAAAACAAGAGAAATTCACTGCAATGAAAGATGAGGTATAGTTTTGCTTATTTCAAACAGAACATTTCATACTCTCGAGCACATTAAACTAAAAGGTATATAAAATATACCTTAATCCGAAATAGAGGTATGTATTTATACTTTTTTCTAATATATATAATACTAGTATATTGTCCAACAACCAGAAAAGTGGAAACTATATTTGTTAGTTCCTCGAACCTTCTCTTAAACATTGCAGTGCGAAGGTACAGTATATAGTGAAGAACCCATGCATTTTAAATACAGTTACATTTATTCATTCCTTATTTATTTATTTATTTATTTATTTATTTATTCAGTCTCAACAGCAAGCTCTTTTAGACGAACTGACGCCGGATGACGTACGAATTCTAATTAACTCCTTTGATGAAAACAACCGAAAAGGCTTATTTGAAAGCATATATCCAACACCGGATACCAAGAAATATCACAAATTCTTCAAGGAACCCAGGTAAGATGTGTATCCAATATCATTCAAATATTGATACCATGTTGATAATTCACGTACGAACATTATTCATGCCAGTTTTTTTTAAATTGTGTTAATATAACATGGATACGTTATTATACCGAGACAGATTTGTCCAGGCTTGGGTCTTAACGGTGTCACAAGACTACTTAATAAGATTATCATTGAATACAAAATTTGCCATATATCCTTTATTTTTATATTGCTTTATTCGTTCGTTTGTTTGTTTGTTTGTTCGTTCATTCCTCCGTTCACTTGTTTATCCTCTCTTAAATATCCTCCAGATACTACAATCTTCTACTCTGTCACTGGATGCAACGATATCATCTCAAGGAAGAGGAAGGAATCCAAGTTCTAGAGTCTTATTGTCAGCAGAAGAAACACCTGAAACCCTAAACGCTTAGAATTCTTATAAAATAAATGTCGATGACTTCTTGAATTTCTGTAGTTGTGGCCAGCTGATTTTTAAGAAGAATACTACTCAGATATTACGTAAATGGCGGATTTAATCCAGTAAACAATAGTTAACTTGTAAATATATAAAACTATTTTGATAAATAAAGATAAAGTTAATTTATTAAATATTATGTCAGTGTTTTTTATGTATACATTTTATTTTTCTTCTTCATCTAACCTAAGATCTAATAAACTGGTATATTAGATCTTAGCTCTAACACAATCGATAATATTAATGAGATGGTAAAATATTGACTGTGTCAAAATGAACCCAGCAGTTGTTGTTCTGACATGTAGACGGGAATCGCAATATACTATTACCTACATGTAACAAAACATGTTTAATGGTCACAATAGTCTACTTGGCATTTAACGCCGCCTCCGACAAAAAACTTAGGATTGTTGTTACGAGCGCGGTGCATAGAAACAAAATACTATTTGTCCCTATGAAAAAACCTCACTGACACGTCCCTAAGACGGCTAACCTCTGAATAAATAAAACATATTAAACAGCGATTGTGATTAAGTTATCAATCGGCTGAATGTAAGTATTGGATAAGCTGTACTTCCTAGGTTATAAACTTGAATTAAAAATATGTTCAGCATATGGCATGATACCACCACTTATTCTTCTCTGTTAACGGACACAAAATATTATCACGTTAATTGTGTTATCTTCAGATACGTAATTTGGTCAGCTGATCAGTTCATTGCAAGTCTAAACGGAAATCCTTCGTAACAATGGAATCACATTTTGTATGCTACTAACTTTTCATCAGATAATTTTAACGGACCTTTGTTGATATGTTGAATTAAGTGCTCAGTCGGGCACGAATCACTCTCTAATAATAATATGTAGATGTTTAAAGATAACACGAAAGGTACTGATATGCAACATTAAAGTAATCATATGGTGATTGCTCACGAGATTAGCTACATGAATCTACGCGGCTATAGTCAGTTGTAAGTACATGTAGGGTATTCAGTTAAATGTATGCATTTGTCTTGCCGCGGAAATCTCGAACCTTTGGCCGTGTTAAGATGTCTAGGAATCCCAATGGACTTCCAGTCTATATTGTTTTGCTCCTGATTTTGTGTATATTTGGAGAAAATACAGGTACAGTAATGGCGATATTCTTAAATGTTTCTGGTGAGTTTTGAGGTATTATTGAGCAAGCTGTGTGAATCCACTGTAATACCCGAGAGAGCCCCCCCCCTCCAATTATACAGGGTCCTGCGCTCATTGGTTTGTACCGGTACTTCCAGTCCTTAACTTTGACACACAAACGTCAAGCTCATGCACCCTTACCCGTATCATGGACAAACCTACGAATTTATGTCCAAGACTACATGAAACGGACCCCAGTTTCGAAAAACCACAAGTATTCTGTTCATATCGTTTAAGTTATTTTTTTTTCGATGTCTTCACAACTAGCTGGATCACATGGAATAGATACAGCAACAGAAAAGGACATATTGCAAGGAATGTGTAATGGAAGATATATGTCAAAGACTGATTGCTGGTGGCTGGGGATAGGAGGGGGCCATGCCGGGGGTGGAGGGGGGGGGGCAAGCAAATCAACTCTGCCATTTGATTTGCTTTTTTTTCCTTTCCGTTCGTCCACTTTGCAACCATACATTCACAATTTTAATGGGTGATTCTCTCTTTGATATCGAAGTCAGATTTTATTATTATTATTATTACTATTACACATGTATCATCGTAGGTACATCATCATCCACAAGTGATGCTTCGCAAAATACGCAGACAGCCGGTTCAGAGTTTGACCACTCGGACGTCAATCTAGTCGCAGGTGATTGTAATTTGCGACATGGTCCAGTTAATGCTGCAAGAACTTTTCACGAGTGCGTGGAGTCACAGTCGCTGACTGATGAAGAGCCCAGGGAAAACACAGATGCCTCATATATAGCCAAAACCATAGAAGAACTCACGGAAAAATACAACGGTGACTACGATGTTCAGCCGGCATTGATCCCAAGTTTGTTTTCCAACGTACCCCCCACAATAAACTTTGTAAGGCCGGAACAAAAAGGTATTCATTTTTTTTAATTCGAATGTCATTTTAACGACTTAAGTCAAGTAAGAGTGATAGCATACCAAGTGAAGTAATACATAATGTACAACACATATTATAGACGGAATAATTATATATTATCTGACGTACTACTATTACAAAGGGGGGAGGGGGTATATAAGCAATGGGGCATGAGGGACAAGCGTCCTCCTGTCCTAACTCTGTGAGCTTTGGAAATATCCCTTCCCATACCCAAAAAATGCCAGCAAAAATAGAGAAAGCAAAGCAATATTTGCAAGTTCGTGCTCTGCATAATAGAGAAAATGCGTTTGCCGGATAAGAGCATAAAAGACATTGTGAAACTATGCCTCCCCCCCCCCACACACACACTTAGAAAAAAGGCCTGGGAATCTGGGTCCGTCAAATAATATACAGCGACATTATTAGATAAATCCGATCACACGGATTATTTCACTTCTGTTAGTGTAATTCGATTACATAATAACTTACAGGAGTTACATAACCACCGTACGTGTTATTAATTCATTCATTGCATTAAATATTTGCTTTTCATTTAGTTGAAGAGTTTCCACCGGCAATAAAAAATAGATTGAAGTATTTCAGAGGCATAAACGCATTAGTCGAAAGTTTCCTGTTGCGGTCTGGATTTTCCGTCACATCAGGTAAGATCTTTGTCCATTTCTCTCCAGTTATTTAATATTGTGACAGCTAGGGGGCAGATAAATTGTCTTTTCTTGATTTTCCCAATTGGCCTCTGTGAAGACTTCCAGGCCTTTTCATACCTTGCTGTACACCACTTTATCATATCAATTATACTTACCCGAGGGTGTACATGTACACGTACTTTCTTCTAAAACTTTCAGGGCCGTAGCCTGAGCAAAATGCAAGGGGGGGGGGGCAGTAAGGGGACACGAGGGGGCGAAGCCCCCGAGGGGGGAGGGTATGGGAAAATTTTTAAAAACTGTGTGTATAATACTGCATTCTGGTGCATTTTAACTGTTATTTATTGCTCAATCAGAAGTCAGAAATTGTGGGTTCATTTTGCCATAAGTACAGTCATTTTTTCAACACAACACGCCAATTGGACTTTTTGGCATGAACTGTTATAAATATGTATGTGTTTGGTTATGTTTCAGACTCCTCAGTATATATCTTACACTATGGGGTTCCATTTCAACCACACCTGACGCACCTTCACAGCTACCTTAGGCCACAGGCAAAGGTAATTACGGACCGAAATATTTAATTTCTGGGGTAAAACTAATGTGTGACTTTTATGCTAGATTTTTCTGCTTATTTCCTTACATAAACATTTACTCTTTCATTAGTTTTTTTTTCTTTTGTGAGAAATAAGATTAATTTTCTGGGTCTTTTCACAAAAAAAAGTGACCATTTGAATTAGTGTTCCCAGTTAGCCAAATTTATTATTCTTTTGGTTATATTTAACTTTATTTTATATAATACCTTTTCGCCCTAATATTTCTTCTAATTTTACTACAATAAAAAGAAACTAACAACAATTTAAAGGTTATTTATGACAGTTACACATCGCCGGGTCCTGTATAGTGCAAAAAAAAAAAAAAAAATGCATCTGTCAGTGACGGGACACAAATGTTCACTTTTTGTGGAATAACCTCACTTAAAGTAAGGAAAGAGAAACTGACTAGAAAAATGAATAGTTTTTGTAAAAAAAAAAAAAAAGAAAAAAAAATGTTTTCACATCACGATCAACTACATGAACTAGACACAGAAAATCTCATAGTTACAACCAACAGAATGTCATATAAACGGCGCGCTCTAAAAAAAATTTGAGTTAAAACATTAGAATTATTTGTGTTCTGTTTAATTACAGTTCAATCACATTCCCGGTAGTCATCATTTGGGGTGTAAGAATCTACTGGCTTGGGGACTGGCGCGACAACGACAGAAATACGGCGAGGAAGAGTACGGCTTCTATCCAGAGAGTTACATTTTCCCAGGAGACAAGCAAGCTTTCAGGAAAGCGTGGGATGCCACTCCTGAAGGAGATATGTGGATACTTAAGCCGGTAAGAATGTCAAACTTTCTCAATTAAATTGGTATTAGAGTTATTTTTTTTTTACGATTTATTATTATTATTATTATTATCCTTGAAATGTCATCTCTTTTTACTTAATCACCCCTCATCTTGCGAGATTTGACACTGTATGCCATATTTTCATATTCTAGCGAAGTTTCGTTTAACAAATTTAGATAATAATTAAGAAAAATACCGTGACAGAGATCTGGTTACCTGGTACCTTGGTATGTTGGCCATATGTGAAAGCAACTTATGGTACATGTATGTGCTATGTTGTGGTCTGTTCATAGGCGTGTTTATCAGGAGGAGAGGGAGTGAGTATTTTGACGGACTTGGAAGAAATTCCCCAGGAAGCTGTCGTACAAAGGTAGGTGTGAGACTGTGATGACAATAACCTGTTATGTTTGTGTGAAATAATTAAACTGAGAGGGCCAACAGAGGCATGCAGTTAGGAAGACAGAAAGGAAGGCAGACAGAGAAGGAAGCTGTATTCACCTGCAGTAAGACTAACAGACAGATATACGGACGCACTGTACTGAGAGGCAGGCAAAATTACAGTCAGACAGACTCACAGACAAGCAGTAAGAGTTACAGACAGGTAGATGGAGTTAAAGACAGACAGACATACAGACAGACAGACAGACGGAAAAGAAAGACAACAACTACGAAGACAGATAGGGAGGTAGCATGTAGACAGAAAGAGAGACGAACAGGCGCACACAGGCAAACAAGTAAACAGTGCAGGCAGTCAGACGGAAACCAAATTGAAGCACCCTCTATCACTTCCGTCTTGGAATGGAGATATTTGCAGTGATAACGTCATTTCATTGAATTAAAATATATTTAAATGTTATTTAAACAATGCAGTTATAACGATCATAACTATTTAAAGCAAAATATGCGTCTAAGACTCTCTATCTGTAGATTTAAACCAAGTCCACAACTATCTAAAATGGCAAAACATCTGGTCATTCTAGATACCTTCCAAATCCCTTGCTGATAGACGAGGCTAAGATGGACCTACGGATATACGTGCTGGTGGGAAGTATAGACCCACTTAGGGTATACATCTTCCCTGAGGGCGAAGTCAGAATAGCCATGGAGAAGTGAGTTATTACTACCAGTACATGTATATTGGTTACTTTAATCAAAGGAACTGGCGTGAAAAACCACTACGACCATTTTATTAATATTTTTGATAATTACGGAGTGTTGTGGAAAAAGGCATTTAAACATTCTCACTCTTGTCCCTCTTTTTTTCTTTCATTTACGGTATTCACAATTGATGTTTTAACTTAAAAGTGGTGTACATAACTGTTTGAAAACACGACAATTGTACAAATTATACCTTCATGATATAATATTTTCAATGGTCCTATCATAATGTGTTAAATAATGAAAAAACCTATAAGTGGGCAATTCATGCATGTTTGATACATTTTTTCAGGTACTCCATGGACAAATTCGAAAAGAGAGACATACATTTAACTAATCTCGCTGTCAATAGGATGAATGCTAACTTTACCCCCGACAAGATAAATAAACTTAGACCGTAGGTGCTTTTTTATTTTTTATTTTCATTTATTTATTTATTTATTTATTTAGTTAGTTAGTTAGTTAGTTAGCTAGTAACCTAGTTTCTTTCTTTTTTTTTTTTTTTTTTTTTTTTTTGAAAACCGACATCTGCTTTTAAAGTTTAACAATTCAAATACTATAAAATGGTGTCACATGCTTAGTCATTAACACGGTCACCAGCTCAGCGGTGCTCCACCTGTACACCATTCACAGTTCATTTCTAACAAATGGTGTTTTTAACCTTATTTTTACTCAAGACGACTTAATTGAATCAGCGGAAATATTAACTTTTCTGTTGATTTTTTCATTTTTTAAAAATAATAATTTATTATATAATATGTACTCTTTTATCATGTCATTATCCATTCCTTGCTAGACCACTAGCATTCTTTTGGAAGCATTTAAAGGAACATTATGGTGTGGAACGGCAGCCAATTTGGGATAAAATTAAAGATATTGTAATCAAGTCCATAATAAGGTGAGAGATACGAAGTAAGAAAATAAAAACAGGGAAAATAAATACATACACAAATAAACAAAAACCATAAACGATGAGCAGATTAAAAATCGGGTTCATAACCAGACTGAAACAATGTTTTCAATATTTTAATAATAATAATAATTATAATAAACTTAAATGGCTCCATTTGCAGCAATTCTTCCTGTATATTTAAAAGATATATTTTAAAAAAACTTTCAGCGGGGAAGAATTCATGCAAGCAGGTACGACTTCTTACGTAAAGAACAGACACAGCGTCTTCGAACTTTTTGGATACGATTTCTTCATTGATGACAATATGGAGCCATGGCTTATGGAAGTGAACGTTTTGCCAAGGTAAGTGGATAAAATCAGATTGTTATTATTTTTTTTTGTTGGTTTCTTTTTTTATTTTATTATTATTATTATTATTATTATTTTGAATGAACAATACGTCTGCAAAAATATGAAATAAGTGAATGGCTGTACAAATAAATACCCTTTCTCCTATTGTCACTTTTTGATATCTTTTTATTTTACTATCTTATGGAAATTTTGACCTTTGCAAAACACGAACTTTAATTGTTATCACAGCAGTAATTACTGGAGCAATTGAAAGTAAAATGATGAAAATAATTTATTATAGAATAACAAAAGAAGGCCTAAAAGAAGTGCACCATCCTCTGTTAGTGGATATGTTGAACCTGGTTGGTCTTCAGATACCAGACGACGACGGGGACAAGCCACAAGGAGAAAGGTAATGGCGACTGATAGTATTTGAACGTGTCATTTTCAATAACTAGGTGGTCGGGATGGTGACAAGCCTTACAGACAAATATTTGCATCGTAGCCGAGGATTAGTGAATTCAATCGCCAAACTAGTAACTTAAACCGCGATTTCATGGTCCGATTGCCAAAAAATGTATAGCGAGCATCGCATTACTGACTGCGAACAACGCGGGAAGTTTTGACCAGCATTCACCCGAGTTTCTCCCTGTTGCTACTTAATTTGATACGGGAACTGCACTTTAGGGCTTTTGGAGATTCCAAGTTTTTTTATTAATTCTGTTCTCCCTCTACCAGTAACGAGGGGGGCATTAAGGCCCAGTAAAGAGATTAAGGGGGGGGGGGTGATTATTAGTTGCCATGCTCACTCAGTGAAGAATAATTTAAAAAAAGCTTCAACTACTAGTACTGCATTAAACTAAACCGGTATATATGCCGAATGGACTCGTGAGAGAACCTGCAGTTTGCAGTTATTAATACGTGTGAGATAGTGATGTATACAGTAAGCATTTATAGATTTGGGACCTGAAATCCGATGTTAACTGGAATTTGGTGACTGCATTCAACGGTGTCTTTTCCATTTCATGGTCTTTCTTTACATCTCTGGGAAACATGACGCAAAATCATACATGTATTTGAGGAGGTGCATGTTTTTAATTTGATTCAAAGTATTAAATATGGATATCTTCACTTATAGTTTTCCCTTTGCTCTACCTTAAGTCGTATTAGATATAGTATCTGGAATAAAAAGCACTATTAAAAAGATGTAAAGTCTCTATATAATGTGATCATTTGTAAATAAAAATAGCACGTGACATTGAAGATGGGCCAACCTCTTTGACCAAGTAAATCGTACACACTCAAAGTGCGAACACTTTACTCTGATCTAAATAATATGATCTGAATAAATTNAAAAAAAGTGACCATTTGAATTAGTGTTCCTAGTTAGCCAAATTTATTATTCTTTTGGTTATATTTAATTTTTATTTTATATAATACCTTTTCGCCCTAATATTTCTTCTAATTTTACTACAATAAAAAGAAACTAACAACAATTTAAAGGTTATTTATGACAGTTACACATCACCGGGTCCTGTATAGTGCAAAAAAAAAAAAAAAAAAAAAAATGCAACTGTCAGTGACGGGACACAAATGTTCACTTTTTGTGGAATAACCTCACTTAAAGTAAGGAAAGAGAAAATGACTAGAAAAATGAATAGTTTTTGTAAAAAAAAAAAAAAGAAAAAAAAGTGTTTTCACATCACGATCAACTACATGAACTAGACACAGAAAATCTCATAGTTACAACCAACAGAATGTCATATAAACGGCGCGCTCTAAAAACAATTTTGAGTTAAAACATTAGAATTATTTGTATTCTGTTTAATTACAGTTCAATCACATTCCCGGTAGTCATCATTTGGGGTGTAAGAATCTACTGGCTTGGGGACTGGCGCGACAACGACAGAAATACGGCGAGGAAGAGTACGGCTTCTATCCAGAGAGTTACATTTTCCCAGGAGACAAGCAAGCTTTCAGGAAAGCGTGGGATGCCACTCCTGAAGGAGATATGTGGATACTTAAGCCGGTAAGAATGTCAAACTTTCTCAATTAAATTGGTATTAGAGTTATTATTTTTTTATGATTTATTATTATTATTATTATTATTATTATTATTATTATTATCCTTGAAATGTCATCTCTTTTTACTTAATCACCCCTCATCTTGCGAGATTTGACACTGTATGCCATATTTTCATATTCTAGTGAAGTTTCGTTTAACAAATTTAGATAATAATTAAGAAAAATACCGTGACAGAGATCTGGTTACCTGGTACCTTGGTATGTTGGCCATATGTGAAAGCAACTTATGGTATGTGGTATGTTGTGGTCTGTTCATAGGCGTGTTTATCAGGAGGAGAGGGAGTGAGTATTTTGACGGACTTGGAAGAAATTCCCCAGGAAGCTGTCGTACAAAGGTAGGTGTGAGACTGTGATGACAAAAACCTGTTATGTTTGTGTGAAATAATTAAACTGAGATGGCCAACAGAGGCATGCAGTTTGGAAGACAGAAAGGAAGGCAGACAGAGAAGGAAGCTGTATTCACCTGCAGGGAGAATGACACACAGATATACGGACTCACTGAGAGGCAGGCAAAATTACAGTCAGACAGACTCACAGACAAGCAGAAAGAGTTACAGACAGGTAGATGGAGTTAAAGACAGACAGACATACAGACAGACAGATAGACGGAAAACAAAAACAACAACTACGGAGACAGATAGGTAGGGAGCATGTAGACAGAAAGAGAGACGCACGTACAGGCGCACACAGGCAAACAAGTAAACAGTGCAGGCAGCCAGACGGAAAGCAAACTAAATTGAAGCGCCCTCTATCACTTCCGTCTTGGAATGGAGATATTTGCAGTGATATCGTCATTTCATTGAGTTAAAATATATTTAAATGTTATTTAAACAATGCAGTTATAACGATCATAACTATTTAAAGCAAAATATGCGTCTTAGACTCTCTATCTGTAGATTTAAACCAAGTCCACAACTATCTTAAATGGCAAAACATCTGTTCATTCTAGATACCTTCCAAACCCCTTGCTGATAGAGGGCGCTAAGATGGACCTAAGGATATACGTGTTGGTGGGAAGTATAGACCCACTTAGGATATACATTTTCCCTGAGGGTGAAGTCAGAATAGCCATGGAGAAGTGAGTTATTACTACCAGTATATTGGTTACTTTAATCAAAGGAACTGGCGTGAAGAACCACTACGACCATTTTATGAATATTCTTGATAATTACGGAGTGTTATGGAAAAAGGCATATAAACATTCTCACTCTTGTCCCTCTCTTTTTCTTTCATTTACGGTATTCACATTTGATGTTTTAACTTAAAAGTGGTGTACATAACTGTTTGAAAACACGACAATTGTACAAATTATACCTTCATGATATAATATTTGCAATGGTCCTATCATAATGTGTTAAATAATGAAAAAACCTATAAGTGGGCAATTCATGCATGTTTGATACATTTTTTCAGGTACTCCATGGACAAATTCGAAAAGAGAGACATACATTTAACTAATCTCGCTGTCAATAGGATGAATGCTAACTTTACCCCCGACAAGATAAATAAACTTAGACCGTAGGTGCTTTTTTATTTTTTATTTTCATTTATTTATTTATTTATTTATTTATTTATTTATTTAGTTAGTTAGTTAGTTAGTTAGTTAGCTAGTAACCTAGTTTCTTTCTTTCTTTTTTATTTTTGAAAACCAACATCTGCTTTTAAAGTTTAACAACTCAAATACTATAAAATGGTGTCACATGCTTAGTCATTAACACGGTCACCAGCTTAGCGGTGCTCCACCTGTACACCATTTACAGTTTCCCTTTTTACAAATGGTGTTTTTAATCTTACTTTTACTCAAGACGACCTTATTGATCCAATGAAACAATATACTTGTCTGTTGACTTTCTCAATTTGAAAACTAATAATAATTATTTAATATGTTCTCCTTTATCATGTCATTATCCATTCCTTGTTAGACCACTAGCGTTCTTTTGGAAGCATGTAAAGGAACATTATGGTGTGGAACGGCAGCCAATTTGGGATAAAATTAAAGATATCGTAATCAAGTCCATAATAAGGTGAGAGATACGAAGTAAGAAAATAAAAACGGTGAAAATGAATACACGAACAAATAAACAAAACCATAAACGATGATCAGATGAAAAAATTGGTTCATAACCAGACTGTCAATATTGAAATAATAATTATAATAAACCTAAATGGCTTCATTTGCATCAGTGCTTCCTGTTTATTTAAAACATATAAAAAAAAAAAACTTTCAGCGGGGAAGAATTCATGCAAGCAGGTACGACTTCCTACGTAAAGAACAGACACAGCGTCTTCGAATTGTTTGGATACGATTTCTTCATTGATGACAATTTGGAGCCATGGCTTATGGAAGTGAACGTTTTGCCAAGGTAAGTGAATAAAATCAGATTGTTTTTTTTGTTTATTTCTTTTTATTATTATTATTATTATTGTTGTTATTTTGAATGAACAACACGTCTGCAAAAATATGAAATAAGTGAATGGCTGTATAAATAAATAAATACCCTTTCTCCTATTGTCACTTTTTGATATCTTTTTATTTTACTATCTTATATAAATTTTGACCTTTCCAAAACACGAACTTTAATTGTTATCACAGCAGTAATTACTGGAGCAATTGAAAATAAAATGATGAAAATAATTTATTATAGAATAACAAAAGAAGGCCTAAAAGAAGTGCACCATCCTCTGCTGGTGGATATGTTTAACCTGGTTGGTCTTCAGATACCAGACGACGACGGGGACAAGCCACAAGGAGAAAGGTAATGGCGACTGATAGTATTTGAACGTGTCATTTTCAATAACTAGGTGGTCGGGATGGTGACAAGCCTTACAGACAAATATTTGCATCGTGGCCGCGGATTAGTGAATTCAATCGAACCAAACTAGTAATTTTAATCGCGATTTCATGGTCCAATTGCCAAAAAAAATGTATAGCGAGCATCGCATTACTGATTGCGAACAACGTGGGAAGTTTTGACCGGCATTCACCCGAGTTTCTCCCTGTTGCCTGGAGTCTGGGAACTACACTTGGTCTTATCTTGGTCGCGCAGCGACCTCTATCGTAGTCTTTGTTTGTTGGTGTTTTAAGTAATTGTAAGTTACTTCTATATAATATAGGTCAATTATGTTGAATAAAGTAGGAAGTGTTACCAACTATTACTTAGACAATAAAGGCATATTATTATTCTGACCAAGTGTTTGTTCCTGATGACGTAGGTTTACAAAAATACCTAATTTGATACGGGAACTGCACTTTAGGGCTTTCGGAGATTCCAAGTCTATTATTTCTGTTCTCCCTCCATCAGTAACAAGAGGGGGACATTAAGGCCCAGTAAACTGACTAAGGGGGGTATTATTAATTGCCATGCTCACTCAGTGTAGAATAATTTAAAAAAAAAAAAAAAGCTTCAACTACTACTACTGCATTAAACTAAACCGATATATATATGCCGAATGGACTCGTGAGAGGACCTGTGGTTTGCAGTTACTAATACGTGTGAGATAGTGATGTATGCAGTAAGCATTTATAGATCTGGGACCTGAAATCCGATGTAAACTGGAATTTGGTGACTGCATTCAGCGGTGTCTTTTCCATTTCATGGTCTTTCTTTACATCTCTGGGAAACATGACGCAAAATCATACATGTATTTGAAGAGGTGCATGTTTTTAATTTGATTCAATGTATTAAATATGGATAACTTCACTTCTAGTTTTCCCTTTGCTCTACCTTAAGTCGTATTAGATATAGTATCTGGAATAAAAAGCACTATTAAAAAGATGTAAAGCATCTATATAATGTGATCATTTGTAAATAAAAATAGCACGTGACATTGAAGATGGGCCAACCTCTTTGACCAAGTAAATCGTACACACTCAAAGTGCGAACACTTTACTCTGATCTAAATAATATGATCTGAATAAAGTTCACGCTCTACTTTAGCGAGGAAATTGTGCCCAAACATCTTGTTATGGACTCAAGACTGTGGACACAACCTCTGACTGATGAAGAAAAAGAAAAACAAGAAAAATTCATTGAGATGAAAGATGAGGTATATTTTGCGTTTTTTAACGAGAGCAACTTCTGGTTCTTGGAAACTTCAAATCAGAAGATCAAGAAGTAAATTAATTGTAATTGACTTGATATTTTTTATAAAATATATGTGCAATGCAAAAGGTATCAATTAAATAGCCCCGGAAGTAAATAAAATGTTTCACTAGCCTTCTCTGTAAGAAGCCATTCAAATACATGCAATTACATTTATTTATTGACTTCTGTTTACAGATTCAGCAACAAGCAATACTGGATGAACTGACACCGGGTGACGTGAGAATTTTAATTAACTCCTTGGACGAAAACAACCGAAAAGGCGGATTTGAAAGAATATATCCTACATCAGACACCAAGAAATATCACAAATTCTTCAAGGAACCCAGGTAGGAATATGTGTGTACGATAAATGTTATAGTGGGCTATGGAAGGCACGTTTAATCTTATTAAAATAATAACTATATTATTTAATACGAACACTATATCCAGGACTTCTTGGAATTGCGTTGTGGCTCAGAAAAAAAAATTGCATATTGATGACATCCCAAGACAACTAAATTAGAGTTTCATTTATTTTTGAAGTAGAGGTATGTGATCTGTTCGTTGAACCTTTGTTCCTATGGCGGATATTTTTTTTGCGTTTTTAAAGATATCAACTTGTAGTAGTATGTTATTTCCTTTGCTCATTTGTTTGTTCCATTCACTTGTTTAATGTACACGCCTTAAATCTCTTCCAGATACTATAATCTTCTACTCCACCACTGGCTTCAACGCTATCAACATAAGAAAAAGGAAGGGATCAAAGTTCTTGAGTCGTATTGTCAGCAGGGGAAACACTTAAAGCTCTGATATCAGCAGAACTCTAATTATAAGTGTCAAAAAAGTACACGGATGAATGTAGGCATTGGAGTATATCATCCATGTCCTCTAGCTCACGGACTGCATAATGAGAATGAGAAGATACTGGATGTTAATTAATTACAGAATAACGAACACCTGCATACTACATTAATTGTACTCCATATTGTTTTACTTAAAAAATAAAAGGGTGTCAAATATCATTTGATTTTTCCAACAAACTGTAGACATTGTCTGTGTACTGATGGTAAATGGACTTTCAATGTATGCTAGTGCAGTATTTGAAATGAATGCACAACAGGAAGAAGTCACAATTAAAAAGACAGTTTGAAAATAATGTGATAATTCAACTCCAGTTGGAATTGGTGTTTGTGCGATTCTAAAATATGGAATTGGCTAAATTTCCCTTCTGCACTCTGAGAAAGAGTGAAATATTTCTAATACTGCACTAGCATACATTGAAAGGTCAACTCCATCGGTTTTTTCCAAGCCCAAAAAGAATTTTTCAGGGGTAAGCAGCAAATGTCTCCTAATCACGAATTGTCCATGTCTGTAGTTGAGTTGTTTTATTCCAATTTTTTTTTTTTAATTTAGTAATTATGTCAATCATGATTGGCCAGTCATTATAACGACATCTGCCGACATTAATATTGCCTCATTTTCTCACAAGAAAAACGCATGGTGTTCTTTATCAGGGCCTGTTCTGTAGCCAAGTATAAAACTGGCATCTTATCATTTAGGTGCACATACAAATACATACACATATATACAACGCGATGAGAGCTAAGCATTAAACCTCGACAACTAACGTCCATTTTTAAATAACAACGAGAAAAAAAACGCCATGCCATAGTTATGAGTAGACAAATTGCTTTAAAAATATTCTGCGGAGTGAAAGAATCAACCATTTTTCAGAGCGCACAATGGGTAATGAGATGAAAATATTTTAAAAGAAAAGAAAAGGTTTATATAAACAACAGAATAATGGAACATATCTAGCAGTGGCGCAAGAACAATCCAGCTCCAACGTGCAACAGGGAAGTCTGATAGTTTGATCATACTATATAAAAGTACGGTGAATTAACAGTCTAAGACATCAGCAGTCCATGAATAAACCGTCGTCGTGAATAAACCGTCGTGCCGCACTGGTCATGCTGCTTACCTGGCCATTGCTCTCAGGTTTTATTACGCAATTTGGATGTATACTGTACAGTAGCGATCCCCATATATATATCACACCTTGCCTGGTTATTGTTCTCAGGATACACCAGTTAGGCCCTACAGGTACTACAGCTGTTGTAAGAACCTAGATGACATCGTTCAAATTTGGTCCTTTGTATTGTGGGTCAAGTTTATCTGTTAGTGTAAAGTATAAATAATTTTGTTTAGCTACTATTTATGCATTTTTCTTTACTTTATGTAAATAATATTTTGGCCTGTCTTGCCGAAGTAGTTTACTGCGGTAAATTTAAGACAACAACCAGATCCTAAAACAATTAAGACGAGAGAACTATTAATCGACATACCTGGGTAGCCTTGTGAGTCCACAGATTGTTGATATTTAAGAAATCCATTAAATAATTTTCAGTTGACTTCCATGCCAACTTCAGGAAAATATTTGAAAAATAGATATTTTAAGCAGTTAAGAAGTATTTATTGATAAAGACAAAAGTCGCAATTAAATGTAATTTAATGTTTTTCCATTCAGTTCTAGTGCCAAATTGACACTTGGATGAATTTTTGAGATCATATATGTTATATGATTTTTTTGTCCACCAATATAAAACTAGTCATTTCATGTCCAATACACAGGCACTTGTCATGTTTTATGTAATCATTGCAATATCAAATGAACTTGTCTTCATATTTTACATGTAAACAAACAATATTATCCTCAGCAAAAAAAAAAAGAAAAAAAAAAAAAGCTTTTTCTTGATGTTAATTTTTTTTCCATTCAAAGAACTAACCACTAAGAAGGCTCCGAGTGAAAGGATTAAAAATGAAAGTTATTGAAATTGCTCTGTACAATTTCTTGGAATTTTTTCATAAGTAGTGTATTTACGAACCAGAACCTTCATTTAGCTATAGTTAATTTACTGTAAAAAATCAAACTCAATTTAATGTTATATTTCTCATTGCTATATCAAAACATGAATGATAAATGTTCATATATATTTAAAATATAAATAGTAATAATAACTTCTAATTAAACCCAGATATCAAAGCAAGGGCAAAGGCCAAACCAAAGATAGACCAAACATCTTTTTGACACATATTACAACATGACAAAATGTGGCCAAAATCAGCAAAAACAAAAATTCTTTTCAGCCATCATTCAAATGTTTTCATAAATGTTATCTTAATTTTGCACACATTTTTGTACAGTTTTCAACCCTTTTAAAACAATGTTTAGGATAAATTTACATTTCAGAAAAGGTTTTAGACTTTTGTTCCCAGAAGACGATGTTAAAACATCCTTAAATGTAATCGTAATATTTCTTCTTTTTTAACTTTTTTAAAGATTATGATGGCACTATTTCCATGTACCCCAGGTTCCAAATTTAGGTATTGCCAACTCGATCTTGATTTCATATATAGCACACATCAACAAAACACCGTAAAGCTAACACATGAAAAGGTATAGTAAACAAGCTAGCTTTATAGTGTCCTAACACTCAGGGCATTCCCATGTGGTTTTCTAGAAATTTTAAATTGTGCTAATGTCTAGCATACTTAAAAAAAGAACGCAGTATATAATACAAAATACAAAAAAATGTTTATTTGGTAATGTGAAAATAAAGAACAAATACAACAAGTAATCAACATAACACACACACACAAACACACACACACACTGTAGTTTTAACAGAATTTTATAATCAAATCCATAAGAAACTAATTGGGCTGGGTTTCCAACTCCACTTGCATTTTATACCTAAGACTCAATATGGAATTCCATTGAATATGTAACTGTCTTTACTATGAAATTAAAAAAAACCCAAAGACTTGGATTCTTAGAAATAAAATTGTGGTGGATCTCACTATGTACAGTGGCATAGATACAAGTTCTGTCTGTTGTTGCTGCAATTCTAGGTGGCTTACATTTCAAAACTGTCAATTACCAACAAAAATAATTGTTAGCAAAATAAATGGTCATGTGTTCAATTTTGTTCATAAATATTATTAAAGATGCATACAAAGTCAATTTTTTGTCAAAAAAACCAACCAAATGCCAGCATATAGTTTCAAGTAGTATAACTAAGAGAATTACCAAAAGGCATTGTTTAATTTTACCCGAAAATGATGTTTGAACAGATTTTTCTGCTGGCATTCTAAGCTGTATGTCAATGGGGCAGGAAAGTAGGTCACGGAAGTAGGTTAAATTTACAACCATAAATTTAAAGAAAGGAGCAGTCTAAAGGTCTTTTATGGCTGATCGAGTGATCTATTCAGTTTATCCCTTGGCATGTCGAATTTATTTGAGTCATATAAGAATCTAGTAGAAGTGGTTTACATGTGTTACTCGGAATCCACACTCCACCGATGCTCGGTTCGTATGTACCTTTAAGAGTTATTCTTATTATAATGACCAATTTCCTAATGCACATAGGGCACACGAAAACAGGTGAACTTTATGTTAGCACACACTGTGTGACACCAAGAAGCACAGACATTGCATTGTATCCATTTGTGGTAATTATCATTTTTTGCAAAACGGAATGTCACCTGTGCTTTCCTCACTTTTCCTTGCATCTCGCAATAGTCGGGTCTTCACATAAGTCCTAAAGGGCTGGCAGAGGGATTAGTTGATTGAAGTCAAATCTGCTCCCTTAAGAATTGTTTCTGCATTCTGGAATAATAAAAAACAAAAATGTTACAAGCAAGTATGGTTTAAGATGATGTCCAGACAATGGTGATGAGATTGTAGCCCTAGCTCATTCTACTTTTCATCAACTTATGAATTGCTATTTGAACAAGTGGATTCTTCTTTGATAGTCGGAAGATTTAGGACAAGTACCTGTAAGAACTAGTAGGTCTGGTAAAGTTGCAATCAACCCAGAGAAAATTTTCTTTCGTGTCCTTATTGCCACTATATTTTGCAATACAATTAATCAATAAAAATAATTTTACACATTTCCTCACATATGGAAAAAGATGGAAGTCTCACTCAATATAAATCTATTTACTTGAAGCATATAACTCTTAATTACCATTATGATAGATAGATAGATACTGGATGAATATGATTATATTGAGGAGCATAACTTACCATCAGAACAAACACTCCATAATCACTGCATCCTACTTGCTTGCTAGACTTCATACCAGCAGAAACCCAGTCTTCTGTGATATCTCGTGACACTTTTTTCGCCTGATATCCCAAAACTTCCTTGAAAAGCAAAATATGATAAACAAAGGGATAGCATCAGCATAGCATTTTAGCAGATAGCATCAGTCTAAATTATCAACACTTTTCCAATGACTTTTCCAAACTGAAAAATGCTCCCAATGTAAACATTTTAAACAAAGGTGAGTCAAAAATATTTTATTTACACAAACTATTGTTATCCTTGGTATTGACAAAAAGTAAAGGTCATGGCAAGTGGCATTTACTGTGACACATAATTAATTATATGTTGGATACATACACTTGGGGTTGTGAACAACGAAGGAGCATATTAATTGTTGTTCTACTACTTTCACTCATATAGGAAAGAGAGCATGAAAGACATATTTGGAAATGTTGGCAATAAGATTGACAACTGTGTGCACAATTCACATTTGCGTGACAATAGGGCTAAAAGTGAGCTAGAGTACGTAAAAATGCACACTTCATATCTTGTACTTACAACCAGTACTGCTCTAACTGTTGAGCTCTTGGAGTGCCCAAGGAGTCCAACACACTGAAAGAGCATTTCTGCACGTCTGCAACAAGTAAAATCCAATGCTGTCCCAGGCATGCAGGAAGTAGAAGCCTGAATGTACTTGTATTTGCTGAACTGCACCTAAATATAAAAAATAATCAAAATATGACTACTGTGTCATTTAAGATAATGTATACATGTGACAAAGAAGGGGACAAAGTTGCTGCAATTAAAAGATCAGGGTGCTCAAATTTTATCATTGTAACCAACTACAGGATGTTCTTAACTACAGTTATATAATTACGATTACGATTATCAAACATAACTCATTACCACAAAAGTATCATGACTGTAGCAAAGACTCATAACTTTTTAAATAATACATCTTGGTAGAGCTGATGATCAAAATGATTTTTCTCCCAAAGAGTTGTCAAAAAACAAGGAAACACATAGGCTGGGGTTTTGTCTGCCCATAATTTGTACTATAATTTCTATAGATCACAAAAGTGTTGATGTCAACTTTGATAAAAGGATGTTAAAATGCATTACGGGTGCGTATTTGTGTGTCACAAATGCGTGTGTGGTGCCATATTGCAACGAGAGCTGATATTGAGAGTAAAAAAAAATTATCATCCCAAAAATCGCGCATATTTTAGCAAGTAGCACGAATCTATACATAGAGTATTCAGCACTGTTGATGTCATCTTTATGTAAAAGGTGCATAAAAATACCGGACAAAAAGAAATGTCGGCGAGCCTAAGAAATCGGAGAGAAATTGCGTCATTTTAATTCAAGACATGATTGAATGTGTCATTATTGTCGCATCTCAGGCTAATTTCACACAAAGAGAGAAATTTTCGACACTAGAAATATTTTCCTATCGGATCATAGCTAAAAACAAGTATGCTATACTACAATTATACAATTTTGAATGCTCATTTAACGGCAACAAACAAGATTGCCTTCACCACATAGGGCATTTTGAATTCCTCCATGAACAAACATATCAAATTCTCATATAGCTTCCAAATTGATAGAACAAACTGTACTTATACTTAATCTCTATAAGTTAATTGTCTCATCCACCCGGATGATTGCCTCACTTTATCGCAAACTACCTGCCCAAATGACACAAAAAGTCATCAACAACCGCGATATGCTCGCTGCCTGCACGGGAGGTCACGTGATCCGAACGCACATGGTTTCGTGAAGAGCTCGCGCCAAGCCGATTATCCTTTTATCTTGCCCCGCGTTTCATGTCCTTCTCTTATTATGTCCAAGTTGTAAGCTAGTTATGTCTTACCTTTAATATCAACACATCATATATAGACATTTTAACATCTTAAAATTAAACTTCTTTGAAACTTCAGGTCTTTAAATTGAACTCCTTTAAATCTTTATATTTTTAATTGAATTTCTCAAAATATATATCTCTAAACTGTATTTCCTTTTATCTTTAGATATTTTAATTTAGTTCTTTAAATCTTTACATCTTTAACTTGAATTTTTTTAGATCTAAATATTTAAACTGAACTTCTTTAAATTTTCAAATTGAATTAATTTTAATCTTTAGATTTTTAACTTTAACTTCTTTAAATCTTCAGATTTTTAATTGAACCCCAGTGTGGCAATGCCAACCTCAGTAAGGCATGTACTTATTAATTTTTACATCACATGTATTAGAAGGTAACATTTATGATATCGAGGAAAGTGAAGATGTATTTAGATTTGTTTCGGGACATTTAAACAACAAGAAAATGAATTCATTTTCACACATTCTCAAAATATAGGTGGAGAAAACAAAAAACAAAACAAAAAAAAAATGAAAAATAATGTTTAAGTCTACTTTTTCTAAATCTCTGGGGATAGAAAGTGATAAATCTTGCTTTCTTTATATACGATATTGAAAAATAAGATTTATACCTTGCAGTATTATACACTGTGCAAAGAATGTATGGTTTGACAGGAAATATGATTTAAATTTGAAAATGTAAATGATTTAATTGCTTGTAAGGTCAATTTGACGTAAAAACACATGTTATTAAAAATGTAGCATGTTTGCATTAATGAATAATCTTTATATGATTAGCTGTTCCACTCCCTGGTTGCATGGTTTTTCTCCAAGGTAAAATAAGCATTGGTATAGCAGCATCTTTCCGAGTTTATTTATTTAAAGTAAAGGCACAGATAGTAAGTCATTTGATTGTATCACTTATTATATATTATATCCAAAACAATTGCTAAAGTTAAATGTATAAATTTATGTGCACATTATCTGCAGCTAGATATATTTGCTGTCTCTCTCTCTCTATGGAACATGTTTTGACTCCAAGTCCTGCATACAATTGCACTTTGTTTATTTATCGTTTTGATTAAAAGGGTAGGATTAGTTTTGATATCTTAAATTATGTATCAATAAATCAATAAATTCGTTTCGTAAATGGAACCCATAGGCGTATATTTTCTGTTTGCAAATGAAATATTTATTTCAGAATATGAATAAGGTATCCATCAGTAGATAAAGCAATTGAATGGAAAGCAAAGACATTGTTTTTAATATCTGGTAAAGCCGAGTTGATCTCGTAATATGGATACGCTGAACATAGCGACAAGTCTAGGTCATCCTGGTATTCAAAACACGCCCATTGTCTTCTTCGCTTACACTTCACTGCTCCAGGAAAGATATAAGCTTTAAGATACCTTTCATCTCTGGTCCACTGGTCATTAGTGGTGAAGCCAAGGCTCTCCTCTCTTGATGATTTTCTTCTTCGGCGCCTAAAGAGTCATGATATGAATTCATGTAAAGCAGAACAGATTTGTTGTTTGTATCACAAAGAGAACTGAGTAAATTTAATTACTGACAGGCTATAGGAAGCAAGCTTGATTATTATCTAATTTATATATCAGCAAATCGTCCAGCCTTGGACGTGGAGTAAGTTCATTGTGAATTATGAAAACTGTAAAGTGCGAAATTCTGCCCAAAGAATTGCCATATTTATCTAAATCTTAATCATTTTTCAAAATGGAATTTTAGGTTTATTTTACACATAACATATATTTTAACAACATAGTATTTTATCCCATATAAAATAATCTCTACGCCTGGATAAAAAGCAGTCCAAACAATTTTCCAGACAATTTCCAGACAATTTTCAAATTAAAGCAAAATGTCATCAATATTAATCTACCACACCTATCAAACACATTTAAATATCATCTTTAAAGCCCCGGAGAAAGTTATTTCATTTTACCTTTTTGCCATACCTATTGATGAATACAAAGTCGACAAACACACACCTAACGGATATCATATTGTTAGCTGGATATACATTCAGTACAATACAATCTTACATTTAATTAATATTTTCATCTTTAGCTTATACATGTATAACTCACCCTTTTGTGGATTTGCCTTCTTGACCTTTCCCCTAAAATTAAAAATGAACATACAATTAAAATAGCAGATGGCTGAAAATGTACTTAATTCAAAACAAAACTTTAGTTCTAATTATTTTTTATAATGAGGCCGTAATACAGAGAGTATAGTTGATTTACTAAGCGTGTCACATGTAGGCTCGTGGATAAAATGGTTTGGGTCATACTATAAAAAGTATTTTAGTTAAAATTTTAAGAAAAACTCCCAGTACAGAGATATTTTTGTGAAACACGCTCCATCAGGTATGCAATATCACACAGCCACGACCTACACGTACCTGTGTTGCAAGTGTCTCCTCCAAAATTATCAGGACAAACGCATAGGAAATTGTCACCATCTACAGTGCACGTCCCTCCATTTAAGCACGGCTGGGAATCGCAGGGAGCTGGAAAAGATATATAATTATAAATCGTTCTACATAAATTTACTTTCGGATCTGACAAGATGTCCGATAGTAATAATCCACGTGAGGTGGGATTAAAATGAAATTTGCAGGGGCATATTACAATGTTTTGGATGTCTATTAGGTTAATATGACTTATTTAATACGTTTTTTAATTACAGAAAGGAAAAATGCACATGGTAATTTTTTCGATTTGGTATATGTCTGTAGTTGTACATAATGTGTGGTAGTATGTTTTCCCGATAGCTTTATATGTGTCATCCTCATCGTCTTGACTACTGGTAAAACAGTGTACATATATGTCTAGCAAAAAATAACAACGGATGGAGTTATCCAAGTACGCTAGGAAAACTAAAAAACTAAAAACACAATCTCTCATGCCGTTAACGAGAGACCAGGTAACTCGAGAATAAGCGTGAGATATAGGGGTTAAAATTTTAACATTTTTTTTACTTCGAAAGTTATAATAACTGAAACCCAATACATGGTGAATTAGTACTGTTGTGCATTAGATAATTGAAGATAATGCAGCCAGAAATTAATTGGGCATAAATTGTCTACTTTCATCGTTGTCGCACCATTCTCGCTGACACCATTCTCGCTGTTCTGCGTTATTTTGACCCAGCTCTCCTCCGTTTTCCGTCTAATTGTACTTGGTTTTACGTTTAACCTAGACAATCCCCATTTTTTCTTTTCTTATTTCTACTTAGGGATGCATTTCAAATACAAACAAATGTGCACACAAATACTGTACATGATAAAATAATAATAAAGTAATGATTTGTGTAACGTCAGTGAACAAATGTGTTTTTTCACAAATCGCTCAACGTTCCCATTTTTACGTAAGCTGTCAGGAAAAAGAATAACTATTTGTCCTTTCTGAACAATTTATACTCCCTAACCAATAAGAAGGTACGGTAGGTTTTACTGGTAATAGATCTAATTTGACCTTGGCGTTATTGACGGGACTGACTTGACCTCTGAGCTGTATTCATTCGCGCTCTCTTTAGGTTATTGTAACCCTTTATTATCTTCCAAATACCGAAAATGATATTTCTCCTGTATCTAATTATTCAATAATGCATCTATCTTTGTGCTGATTTAAAACTATGAAAAAGCTCTTGAAAATATAAAATATGGGTTTTTTTTTTCGTTGCAATGTATAAGCATAGCCAATTCAAACTCTCCTAAGGTTAAGTAAGTACTATAGGGTTAAAGTTACACGAGAGTAGACTGCTTCCATCAGCTGGACAAATTACCACATTGAAAAGTAAAATGTTCCAGTCTAAATATTCAAAGCATGACATATTGGCATAGAACATGAAGTTAACGGACCCAAAAGAAATTACCTAGGAGTTCATAACAACCCCAGTCTAAACGTATTTCCGGTCACACCTTATAGGCTATTATTGATTGTTGTGTTGTTAATTTCTGCCCCCTGTTGTCCAGTCTCCGAGCTTGCCTTTTTAACAGGTTAAAATTAGTTACAGTGTACAGGTAAATAACGGTGGGAAGTCGTTGAAGCATATATCTAGTCATAAAATTAGATAATGAAAAAAAAAAAAGAAATATCCAAGGAAAAGATGAGTAACGATGACATAAAGTGACATGCTATCAAGGAAGAATGGATAGGCGCCTGGTCATAGGAGCGGAATTGGTCACTGGCAGGCCAGGGATAAGAAATAGGAAGATTAGAACAGATCACTGAGGAAGATTCATACATTTTCGATTCGGAAATTTAATATTATTTCCAAATTTTGTCATTTTGACCAGGAGTTAGAGTTTTATGACCATGCAAAAATAGGGATATCTTATCTAGTTGGGTTCTAAAATATGCATAAGTTGCACCAAGTATAACTTCAATAGTTTTGTAGAAATCACGATACTCCACTGTTTAAGTGAACACTGCACGAGCTTGCCTGTTCATGCTACTGTCACTGTGAGCCCTTTGTCTAATCTCACCGTACTTTCTGTTCTTTTCTCCATCATGAAGAGTTATGAAATAGTGATAGTTAATAAAAACAGCCATAGCATTCCTTGCAACTCGAGATATAGATCAAATCAAAATTTCTCCTTAATTTTGATAATGACCTGCCCACTATTAACCCTACAGCTGACTTTACACATACATGTATCTAGACTTAAATGCTAGGCGTATCAAAATTTTTAAAACGCTCATAATTGTTAGACCTTAACGATCAGATGTCTAATAAATTCGTTTCATACTGGGGCATCATCAATTTAGCAATTTCTCCCTGGAGTAAAAGTTAATGTATTAATTGCATTTTCTCCTGGTAGCAAAATATGGTAAATAAACTGATAATATTTTATGCCCGCCTAACCCCTATACTTACAATCTGCGGCAGCCTGAAGGACAAATGCACACGCCATCAAAGTCAAAACAAGGTGCGGGCTGAACAACAATTCCATCACAGATTGGCTGATTTGGAAATGCTCTGTTTCTGTTGTTTATGCTAGAACGAAATATGATACTCTGAAACAAACACAGTCCTTGAAATTTTACATCAAAACAAACAAGCAACTACATTTTCAAAGAATAACATCACTGATTCGGCTGATCTGAAAATCAATGCACTATGATTATTTGACAAGGACACATTGCTTGAATTTCAACATTAATAATTTAGAAACTAAAATTTTTGAAAAGTAAATACAGAAAAAATCGATTGATCACCATCTTTTATCTGAAATAACATCAGGAGTAAACGGCAAATATTTTTTAAATGTTTTTTTTTTTTTTTTTGAAAATGAAAAAGAAAACGAAAAAAAAAATGAACATCGAAGCTAAAAGACAGACAGTGCAACAGAAAATTACACATTATTTACCTATTCAATGGCGAGGTAATAATATCGAATCGAGAAAATGTATAATATTCAGTTTTGCTTGATGTATGTCTCTATAAATAAAATTATTATACCAGACAAAGCAAACATGCTTGTAGGATAGATCTATGGGAGAAATAGAAAATATACCTTTCAGTAGAAAATGCTTCTTTATCAAACATGGAAACACTTTTGAAGTCCCAGGTCTAACCAACTACCAGACTCGGCACCTTTTCCTTAATTCACCGGTATTTCTGACCACACCACCCGTTTTCAAGGTGTGCGTCAGTACAAGCTTCGAAGTATCAGACACGACACCGCTCTTGCCTAGTACGCAATGTGATAGTGATGATTCTCAGCGGGGTTGGAAATAGTGCATCTCATCTCAAAATTTGATCCGAGGTATAATACTGTGAAATGCGTACTGACGCAAACCTTGAAAACTGGTAGTGAGGCCCGATCTACCAGTGAATTCAGGATGTTTCAGTGCCGAGTCTTTGGGAAGGCATGAGTACTCTACAGTTTGAAGATGTATCATGGAACTTAAGGTGTTGTTAATCCTTGTTGAAACTCAAAATTACGTAAATAAGACAAAAAATCCACAAATGTATGATAATTCATATCGCCATAGGTACTGATAAACCTAATGAACAGAGCCATTTAAATAATAACATTTATTTGTCTTGATTATTACGTTTTTATAAATGTTTAATTAGACTTGACATTTAATACGGAATATTTCAGTTTTGAAGGTACGCTTAGGTAAAATGTGTTCTTTTTTTCAAACAACTCCAATCTCATATAAGATATGTGGATGGAAGAGGTGTATCGCTAACAATTTACAGACTACCATGTCAGTCACGCTGTTGCATTATGTAATATGCAGAGGCTTAATTGGGTAGTACTCCTTTGGGCTGGTCAAAGCTTGGCTTTGGAAAAGCATGGTTCTGTCAAAAAAAAATCCATATGTTGGCAACTACTGCATAGAATAATTTGACATTTTACATGCAAGCGGTCGGTTTTGCAGGGAGTAAATTGAACCAAAAAGTGCTGCTTTACAACTTTATCAATCTGTGGCAGAATGGCGCATATAGACATTATCAGACAGTTTATTGTGCCAAACGGAACGATCTGCACAGTTTAATAGAGTCCAGACTGATGTACCTACACAGAAGCCACACCCAATGTATCGAAATCGGGATATGCTGCTGCAACTAAACAAAACAACCCAGTCCGTTCAGAATGAGGGGTAAATTGTCACCAAAACGCGTTTTTCAAGGTCCTTACCGAACACCAAAATGGTTTTAGCAGGTTAGAATACCAGACGATCTCCGAAGAACCCACTGTTAACAGCAAAACATCGTCGCCTGTTTCTCTAATAAATTGGGGACCATGACCATGTGTGGTTAGAACACTGAAATGGCGTGGCTTTCTTTATTGAGGTCAGATTTCACCTGTACCGCTCAACTAGTCACAACAGCGTTTACAGACAACCAGAAGAGGCCTACGAAAAAATGTGTGACGTGTCTAAACTGACTAGGGTCATTGACAGCGTCAGAATTTGGCGTGGATACCACATTGATGCCAAAATACCAATGGTTGTCATCAACTAAAACCTGAACCAGATCAAATAAAGGGATAATCTGGGAATCAATATAGTTTGATAGGGGCACCTAAAGCCTAGGTCCCAACCAAACGTACCGGCTGTTACGTGTGGTCTACGGCCAAAAAAATGAGAAAACGTGCGTGAGGAGCACGTCCATTGCGCGACTTTTGGAGGACGCAAACAGCACGTAGAAACTTTTCACCAATTACTTGATTCCTTCCCTGCGATCTAGCTACGTCCTAGCCGGACGCAAGGACCCTAAAAACCGTGCGTCCAAAACGTACTTGGGACCTAGGCTTAAGAGACAAATTTTGGTTGCACTGTGAGATTGCTGGTGCACACTGAGCACTTTTAATAGCAGATAACTTACACAACCAACGGAATGAGCAGTTACCTTGGCCATCAAGATCGCCATATTTGAACCACATAGACATTACTCGCCCAACCAACGGTCTACATGTCCTTTCACAAAACTGGGTCAAATTTAGACAAGTTTAATTAATTCATATCGTTGTAAAATATTTACCTTTGTCTTCCAATGCAGGTTGCTTGGGTGCCACGAAGTAAATGCTTATTACAATGTATGCAGTAGGTCAGCAGTCTCACCTAACTCTATATAGTTGACAATAAAGCGTAACAAAATAACTACAATGTAGATATTTGATAATAGAAAAGTCACACATGTATTAAGGTGCACAGAAAACGGGATGATGTTTCTGCTCATGGTATGATCCTGATTGTAAGTGTAAATTAGACATTGCGCTTATGAAAATGTTTAATCCAGATAAAACTTACCTTGCTTGTTCGTACTGAAGTCGGATCCAGCAATGAGACGTTCCAGAACAGGTTTTGTCCACATATATATTGTCACTATCAATGTCTCCATGGTAACTGAGGTGACACAAATAAAATTATCCAATCACAGTCATTCTTGATATAATCATACACTAGCAAGTTTACTGTTAACAGTGTAGCTCTATGCAAATGATATACTTTAACCTACTAGCTTTGATCAGGGTTTGAGAAGGCGCGTTCCAGCGCATTCTGCTTGGCTTAAAGACATTTTATGGAACATTATGTAGAGTAACGATGGCAAAACAATCATTGCATCTGATACGCTCTATCTACCTCTCATTAATGTTGGATTGGGTTGATACGGTTTCTTTATAATCTCCTTTCTCGTGCTGTCTCTCACTCTCTCTCTATCTCTCCATCTCTCTCTCTCTCTCTCTCTCTCTCTCTCTCGTCACTAAACCTAGCTGCTATTCACCGCTCTCTAATTTCCACACAGGTTACTAACACACGATCTCTCTTTCTCTCTCTCTCTCTCTCTCTCTCTCTCTCTCTCTCAATGTGACACCGTATATGAAACATGTCGACTGCAAATATTTACCAGTATATGTTATTTACCACGGATGAAGACCAGTGAAACTTTTGGAATAAAAATCCACCAGAACGAGGGCATCATGTTCGTATACATGAAGTTAAGCTGGCAATCACCGCTCTTTCTCATTTTCACACTCTCTCGTTAGTTTGTCTACCTCTGGTACGACCCCTTCCCACCAATCTGTTTCTTTCTCAGGACTTCATATAACGTATTATAACGTTGCTTCTCTCTTTCTCTCTCTCTCTCTCGCTCTCATCACTTTGTTAAGGGGTGGTTTGCCGGGTCTTAGCTTAGTTTAACTGGCACCTATCGCCACCTCCCACAACCCATCTCTCTCTCTCTCTCTCTCTCTCTCTCTCTCACACACTTCACACACACACACACACACACACACACACACACACATGGTGACACATATCCTGGCATAGTCGCAGTTTACCCTATAGATAAGGACAACTGTTAAAAACAAAACATTAACAGAACGGGAAGAACGGCACATGCAATTAACTGTTTAGTCATATTGACATCTCTCTATACACACCTGTATTGGGTGGGGAGACGGGACTTCTCAGCCATTGTATCAAAGTTGGTGACATTGATCAGATAATCTAGAAATTAAAATTAAAATTGTTTAGTCCCATTTCGCAATTCTCAGCACTGCTGACTTGTGACCGGACACAATATATTCAACATTATTTTAATCGGCCATTATGAATACATGAGGACAAAATCCCAACACAGATCTAATTGAGATTATGTGGTAACTCAATTAGGCGAACATGTCTTTCCCCACTGTAGGACCTATAGGATACTGGCCAAAATCCAACTGGGTCCAATGAGGCACATATCCTAGATATGAAGGACGTCCAACGAAATGCATAAAGATACCTGAAGGCCCTATTTTTGGTAATTTCCGAAGCTAATTCCTTCACTTCCGATTTGGACCCTGAAACCCACTACCAGAGCTCCATCTACTGCTGCTGCAAATCTGGTTGAATTCCCTTGGGCAGCTTTTGTGACGGTTAGCGCACCTTGACGACATCATCCATCTGGTCTCTAGTAAAACATACAGGAAGCCTAGCTTCATAAGCTTCAAAACAATCTAAAAACTAGAAGGTGTGTGGGAAAGCCATCTGCTGAGAGGATACCCTATAAGTATAACATGTTCACATATTGATTTTTAACCAGATATGTCAATGTATAATTCCTGAAATTATTCTCTACTATAATGTACACGCAATTCATGTACATTCTGTCCTTGTAAAGGGTTCATATGGGTTGTTTTCAGCCACTGTTGCAGGCCTGCCAAATTGGTCAGATAAAGTAGTAGATTTCCGACGGGAAAAGGGATTTTGCCCATGTCAACTTAACCGCCATCATTGATGGTGATATTCATTATAATTATCGAGACGTTATGCTAGTGTGGTTATTAATTGGCTGCTTGCCTGGCGCGGCTCTCTTTTTTACCTCTCCTCTCTCTTTCATAATTTGGACATGGATCGGTTCGTCAGAAGCCTACTTGTTGGGTTGAACTGACAAATACCGCCACCTTCCACCATACATTTCTCTCTCTCTTTTCTCTATCTCTCTCTAATTCTCTCCTCTCTTTCACCCACACACACACACACACACACACACATATCTTGACATCAAACATTTACCAATATTCGCAGTTTACCCTTATAGATAAGTGAAACTGCTGAAAAACAAGACATTAATGGAACGAGAATATGGGCAAATGCAATTAATTGTTTAGTTCCATTTCATATTTCTCTACACAGCTGACTTGTGACCTGACACAAAATATTTCAACATTATTAATTATCGGCCATTATGAATACATGACGACAAAATCCCAAAACAAATCCGAGTAAAGTTCATGGTAAATCAATTTTAATAAAAAAGGATAACATATCCCTTTCACCAATATACAGCCTATAGGAAATTGACCAGAATCATATTTGTTAGCAAAAATACTTTTTATAGTATGACCCAAACCATTTAATCCGCTGGCCTAAATGTAGCACGCTTAGTAAATCTACTATACACTCCGTATTACAGCCTCATTATAAAATAAATAAAACTGAGGTCTTGTTTTTGAATTATTTACAGTTTCAGCCACCCGTTTTTTAATTGTTTGTTCATTTTTAATTTAAGCAGAAAGGTCAAAAAGGCAAAAGGGTGAGTGATAACGTATAAGCTAAAGATGAAAATATTAATTAAATCTAAGATTGTATTTTATTGAATGTATATCCAACTAACAATATGATGTCCATTAGGTGTGTGTTTGTCAATTTTGTATTAATCAATAGGGATGGTGAAATGGTTTTGACGACTTTTCGCTGTGGAGCTTTTTAAAGTTAGCATGAACAACTAACAACTTGGTGCTTTAAAGATGAGATGTAGATGTGTCTAGAAAGTTTATTAAGCATGGGTGTGGTAGATTAAGTTTGATCGCATTTTGCATTAATTTAAAAATTGTCACTTTGGGCCGAGTTTTATCCGGGCGTAGAGACGTTTTTTTTTCAAAATTATAGCAAAACTAATGAGAGAGAGAGAGAGAGAGAGAGAGAGAGAGAGAGAGAGAGCTGAATGGAGAGAGAGCGGTAACTGTCATTTATTACAAATGTACGTTTTACCCCCTTTCAGGTGTATTTGAATTCAAATAGTCCCACTTATCAGAGAGAGAGAGAGAGAGAGAGAGAGAGAGAGAGAGAGTGAGAGAGAGAGATGGTGGGAGGTGGCGGTAATTGCCACTTTAAGTTATGTCAGGTGGAGCAGGTAAAAATGAGTGCTGAGCCAGACAAGCAGCCATGTGATTAATTATATTAGTTTTAAGTTTCAATGATAATTATTACACCTGTATAAAATATAACTAGCAATATTAGTGGTTTTATACACGTGGGCAAGGTGCTTTTTGAGTTTACCAGTGGGATTGGCCCTAAAATAGTGGTTCAGAAGATCTATCTCACAATGCGCCATGTACCAGGACCGGATAGTAGTAAGGTGAACGTGTGCATTAGGGAATATGACTTGTGTCATGAATTAGACAGACAAGTCTGTGAATATCTGGTGTAGAATCAATCTGTGACCATGTTAAAGGGTATCCCAGCAAGCAGGTGGAATTGACACTCTCTGGTTTTGAGATTGTGTTGAAGCTTCTGAAGCTAGGGTCCACCTATGTTCTACCAGAGACTAGATGGATAATGTCATCAAGATACGCTTACAGTCACAAAATCTGCCCAAAGGCCTTCAACCGATTTTGTAACAGGTAAATGGTGGTGGGTTTCAGGAAGCTAGTATTAAGTGAGGGAAGATCCTTACGAAAATTTCGAAATGAATGTCAGATAGGACTCTAAAAGAATGCTGTCGGACGTCCAATGGAATGCCTGCCTAGGACATATGTCCTTTAAATACACATAGGATTCTGGCCAATTTCCTATAGGTTGTATATTGGTGAAAGGGACATGTTATCCTGTTTTATTTAAATTGATTTACCATGAACCTCACTCAGATTTGTTTTGGAATTTTGTCGTAAGGTAATCATAATGGCCGATATTAAATATCGTTGAAATATTTGTGTCAGGACACAAGTCAGCCGTGTAGAGAAATATGAAATGGAACTAAATAGCTAAGTGCATTTACCCACATTCTGGTTCCATTAATGTCTTGTTTTTCAACAGTTTCACCTTTCTATCAGGGTAAACTGCGAATATTGAAAAATGTTTTGTGTCAAGATATGCACCACCATGAGTGTGTGTGTGTGTGTGTTGAGAATATTGAGAGTGTTGATAATGTTGAGAGAGAGAGAGAGAGAGAGAGAGAGAGAGAGATGGATGGTGGAAAGCGGCGGTAATTGTCAGTTAAACTAAGCTACTGTAAGACCCGACGAACCCTCCCATGACTGAGTGATAAGCGATAGAGAGAGAGAGAGTTTAGAAAAGAGCGCAGTACCACACACTTTTTCGTAAAGGTGAAGTTTTTCAGTCAGTTCGAGTTTGATTTGATTGATCATTTTCACAATCAAACAATTCAACAACCGCAAACTGGAGTTTTGGAATTCACCAAGTAATGATGCATTAGAAATAAAATTTAAAATATTAAATCTAAAGCCAGGTCCGCTGAGAGTGTTTTATAAGGAAACGTTAGATAGTGAAATGACAGATTAGAAGTGAAGTTCTTGCGATCACGCAATTTACGGTGACGTAAAGAAAACTGAGTACTGAAGTACTGAAAAATATATTCCATATAATCCCTTATAATTATATAAAAGGTAAGTTGGTGAATAAACGTTTGAAAACTCTTCCGGGTATCTTGTCATATTTTTCAGGGTGGGGGTGGAGTAGGAGTAAAATGATGTAATGAGAAAGAAACAGATTTGGGGGGGGGGCGGGAGCAGGCTGTGCTTGTGAGGTAGACAAACTAGAGAGAGGGATGAAAATTAAGAGAGCGGTACCTGTCAATTATACCACATATTCGTCATTCCCCTTTCAAAAAAATCCACTAGTCAGAGAAAGAAAGAGCCAGACAGACAGACAGAGAGAGAGAGAGAGATGGTGGGAGATGGCAGCCATGTGATTAACCAGATATATTTTAAGCCTCAATAATAATAATAATAATAATAATAATAATAATAATCAATATTACTAGCAATGTTGGCGGTTTTCTTGACGTAGGCAAGACGCGTTTTGAGTTTACTAGTGGTCTTAAAAAGTGGTTCAGAACACCTCTCTCCCCAGGCTCCCTGTACCAGGACCGGATATTAGTTATATGTGCGTGTGCATTACGGAATATGACTGTGTCATGAATTTTACGGGTAAATTTGTAAATATCTGGTGAAAAATCGAACTATGACCATTTTAAACGGTAAATCCCAGCAGGTGGATTTGCACAAACCTTTGGGTCTTGAGATTGTTTTGAAGCACATATGTTCTACCAGAGACCAGATGGATGGTGTCGTCAAAGTGCGCTAACAGTCACAAAATCTGCCAAAGGCCCTTCACCTGATTTTGTATCAGGTAGATGGACCGCTGGTAATAGTTCCCTGGAATATCGTACGTCGTAAGGGAAATGAGATCTCCTTACGAAATTTCAAAAAGAATGTCCTATACAGCCCCTGCCTATAGCAATACCTGCCTAGGACATTTGTCTCTTAGAACCAAAAAGGATTTTGCCCAATTACGGTGCCTGTAAGTTGTATAGTGGGGAAGGGTATATCTTATCCTGCTATATTTTAATTGAGTTATCCCATAACTTCACACAGATTTGTTTGGGGATTTTGTTGTAATGTATTCAAAATAGCCAGCTATAAAGTGCTGAAATATTTGTGACAGGCCGAGTAGAGAAACATGAAATGGAACTAAATAGTTAAGTGCATTTGCCCACATTCACGTGCAATAAATGTTTTGTTTTCAGAAGTTTCACCTTTCTATGAGGGTAAATAGTGAATATTAAACAAAAATATATTTGAGTCAACTTATGTGTCACCGTGTGTGTGTGTGTGTGTGTGTGTGTGTGTGTGTGTTCATGTGTGTGTGTGTGTGTTCACTTGTGTGTATGTGTGTGTGTTTGTGTGTGTGTGCGTGGGTGTCCACTGAAATTTTTCCCCGGGGGTGGGGAATCAAAGTCATTGAAGGGGGATATAATTATTGGCTGGGTACCAGTTATAAAAATGCAGTTCCGAAATTCCAGGGGGATTAAGTGACCTATTGACCCCCGCCCCCTGCAGACGCCCATGTGTGTGTGTGTGTGTGAGAGAGAGACAGAGATACAGAGCGAGAAACGGGGGTGGTGGCTATAATTATTATTTTCTCAAAGCAAATGTAAGACCCGAAAAGCAGTCCCATGACTGAGTGATGAAATATGGAGATAGAATGAGATAGATAGAAAGATGGATAGATAGATAGACAGGTATATATATATATATAGCTTTATAGCTGTGATATTTTATATATATATATATATAAAGAGAGAGTTGAAGGAAAATGCTGTGAAAGACAATGTATTATGTTAGATGAATATTGTTTAAGTCAGATGAAATTTGAGTTGATTGGTTATTTTCTCAATCGAAAAATTTTATCACGTGCACAACAGCTGCAGACTGGATTTATGGATTTATCAAATTAATGGTGTATTGGAAATAATATTTTAGATACCAGTATTTAGTTCAAAGCTGGGTTGGCAGAGATCGTTTTATGAGGAATTTTAGATAGTTAATTGACAAATTCAAGGTGAAGTTCTGGTGATCACGCAAAAAGATAATGTATCAAAAACAAGTTAACACGTGACCGATACTGAGAAATAGGACATAACTGTACTTAATTATAAATATCAAAAGTGGTTGAGAATGCTTGTTTCCCCATGTACCCTCTTCCAGGACTGGACATTAGTTACATGTACCTGTGCATTAAGGAATATGATTGTGTTATGAATTAGACAAATCTGTGAATATCTGGTGAAATATCTCTCTGTTACCATGTTAGACGGTAAATGTATGCTCCCAGCAGGTGGACTGGCCACACACCTTTAGGTCTGGAAGTTGTTTTGAAGCTTTTGAAGCTAAGGTCCACCTATGTTCTACCAGAGACCAGATGGATGATGTCGTCAAGGTGTTCTGACACCCACAAAATCTGCCAAAGGCCCTTCAGCCGATTTTGGAGCAGGTAGATGGACCCCTTGTAACATGTTCCCGGAATCTATTCATAAGTAAAAGGGGATCTCCTTACGAAATTTTCATAAAGAATGTGTTCTAGAGCTCAGTGGAATTCCTGCCTAGGACATTTGTCCCGTAGTAGCATATACAGCTCTATAATTTTGCCTAATTACCTACAGGTTGAATAGTGGGGAAAGGGATATATATTATATGCTTTATACCATAATCTCATTCAGATTTATTTGGAATTTTGTCTTAATATATTCAAAATGGCCGATTATAAATATTATTGAAATATTTGTGTCAGGTCACGAGTCAGCTGTGTGGAGAAATATGAAGTGGGACAAAACAGTCAATTGCATTTGCCCATATTCTCGTTCAATTAATGACTTTTTTTCAGCAGTTTCACCTTTCTATAAGGGTAAATTGTGAATATTAAATATATTTTTGACAGCTTATGTGTCACCGTGTGTGTGTGTGTGTGTGTGTGTGTGTGTGTGTGTTTGTGCATGGGTGTCCGCTGAAAAATTTTCCCGGGGTGGAGGGTCAAAGACATTGAAGGGGGAGATAATGATTGGCTGGCTACCAGCATTAAAAATGCAGTTCCGAAACCCCAGAGGGATTAAGTGACCCTACTGACCACCCCCCTGCGGACGCCCTTGTGTGTGTGTGTGAGAGAGAGAGACAGAGATACAGAGCGAGAAACGGGGGTGGTGGCTGTAATTGTTATTTTCTCAAAGCAAATGTAAGACCCGAAAAGCAGTCCCATGACTGAGTGATGAAATACAGTATGGAGATAGGATGATATGGATAGAAAGGTATATATATATATATATATATATATATATAGAGAGAGAGAGAGAGAGAGAGAGAGAGAGAGATTAAAAGAAAATGCTTTGAAAGAAAATGTATTGTATTAGATGAATACTGTCGTAATGTATTCAAAATGGCCGATCATAAGTATTGTCGAAATATTTGTGTCAGGTCACAAATCAGCTATGTGGAGAAATATGAAGTGGGACATAACAGCCAATTGCATTTGCCCATATTCTCGTTCAATTAATGCCTTGTTTTTCAGCAGTTTCACCTTTCCATAAGGGTAATTTGTGAATATTGAAAAATATTTGTGTCAATTTATGTGCCACTGTCTGTCTGTCTGAGAGAGAGAGAGAGAGAGAGAGAGAGAGAGATGGTAGGGGAGGTGGCGTTAATTATAAGACCTTGATGAGTGATGAGAGATAGAGAGGATGAGAGAGAGTGAGAAGCAGATTAAAGGAGAATGCTGTGAAAGACAATTTGTTTGCATTAGGTTAAAAATGTAAAAGACAGATATAATTTGAGTTGATTGGTTATTTTCCCAATCAAAATTTTCTAACACGTGTACAACAGTGCAGACTGGACTTTGGGAATTACCTAAGTAATGGTGTAACGCCGGACCCACAGAGATTGTTTCATAATAAAATATTAGATAGCGAAATGGCAAATTAGGAGTGAAGTTCTAGTGATCACGCAATTTGAGATGAGGTGGAGAAAACACGTAAATTATGCGTGATCGGTAAGCAAAAAGATGCTATAAAATCCCTTGAATTATATAAAATGAAGGTCGGTGAATTAACGTTTGACAGCGGCTTCTCGTCGTCGTTGACTGGGAGGAAGGATGCAGTAATTATAAGTTAGATAAAGTGATGAGATAGAAACAGAAAGAGGGAAGCTGTGATATTTAGTTACCCTAACTGGAGCGAGGGAGAGAGAGAGCTGCAATTGTCAGTTATATCACATATACCTGTAAGTGATGCCCTCATTCTGGTGGATATATTTTTGAATAGTTTTTCCTTTCATTTATCTTCCGTGGTAAATTACGTATACTGTTACGGTGTATTTGTTTGCTGTCGACATGTTTAATATATGTTGTCACTTTGAGAGGGAATGGGAGAGAGAGAGAGAGAGCAAAACAGGACGTAAAAAGAGTAGGCCTACTGCGCCAAACAAGTATAGACATGTTATTAATGAGTGAAATACAGATGAAGAAAGCAAGTGAAAGACGGGGATTATAAAGCACAATATCAATTCATTCCAACTTTAATGAGAGATAGAAAGAGCATAAAAAAGAATTTATGTTTATAACCCGAATGTCTGCGATTGGATAATTTTCATTGGTGTCACGCCAATCACAATGGAGACGTTAACAGTGACAATATATATGTGGACGAGACCTGTTCTGGGACGTCTCATTGCTGGATCAGACTTCAGTCCGAACAAAGAAGGTAAGATTTATTTGGCTGAAGAAATATTTTAATGAATGCAATGCTCATTTTCTTATTTTGCCACAGATATTTCTAACGAGCACGTTTGATTTATCTAGTGTAGTGTGTGTTTTATTAAATCACACAGATTTACACATCAAACAGCAAGTAATATTATTGATATGCTCGTGGCAGTGAAAATAATTTATACATAGACGTTCGTAACGACCCTGTCTAACATTTGAAAGGGAATTGTACATCTGATTTTCCTTCGTATATTAACCTAATTGCGTCATGAGAAGTCATGATCAATTGTTTGGGGATAGTTACTGCAGACTCCTTCTTTTATGTGCCACCACCACAAAAAAGGTCACAAAAGGAGCAGGTCTGGCGAATATTATTATTATTATTAGTGGCGGTGGTGGTGTAGTAGGTAAAAATGTGTTGCTTTCCAAACACGTTTATTTATAAAAATACCCACCATTAATTCTGACGTTATTTCAGATAAAGATGGTGATTCTTGGTGTTGTTTACTTTTTATCTGTACCAACCGTTTTAGACATTTTTTTTGCCTTTTTAGTTGCTAGATTGCTGATGCGGAAATTCAAGTACTGCGTTTACGTCATGTTCATAATGTTAAAACACGTTGATTTTAAAAAAATATATCCCCCATTAATTCTGACGTTATTTCAGATAAAGATGGTAAATTTTTGGTGTTGTTTATTTTTTATCTGTACCAACCGTTTTAGACATTTTTTGGCCTTTTTAGTTCTAGATTGCTGATGCCGACACGTAAACTGTGTTTACGTCATGTACATCATGTTAAAATATTATTGTTGTTAAAACAGATTGATTGTTGTGACGTAAAATTTCAAAGATTGCGTTTGTTTCAGGGAATCATATTTCCTTCCAACGAAGTAAGACATAACATTTCCAAATCAGCCAATCTATGATGGAAGTGTTGTTCAGCCCGCACCTTGTTTTGACTCTAATGGCGTGTGCATTTGTCATTCACGCTGCCGTAGATTGTAAGTAAGGGGGGGTTGCATAGAAAATGCCATTGAATATACATTTATAAACAGAAGTAAGAAAAGAAAAAAGGGGGGACATCTAGGTTAAGCATTAAATAAAATGAAATTGGACGGAAATTGGACAGCTGGACCAAAATAACGCAGGTCAGCGAGAGAGCATGGTGAGGCAATGATGAAAGCTGACAGAATTTATGCATAGGTATTTTCTGGTTGCTTTATCTTCAGTTATTTAGAATTATAATCCAATGCATAACAGGACATGAACTTATTCAGTATGCATTGGATGTCAGTTGTTTATAGCTGTCGAAGCAGAGAAAAACAAAGTAGCGAACATTAATCTCGTTTCCTATACTCTCTCAATTACGACGCGGGTGATCTATTTTCTACATGTAGCTCACTCAGCTAGATTACTATTCATTGGTATTTTTTACCAAACATATACCTTTTATCATTAGCCAGTGACGCAGGGTTGCGATATAAAGATGATGATAACACTTATCCCAGTTAGCACGCAACGATGGGTCCCACATGTGGCCCGTATGGGCTGTGATGTGGGCCCCAGATGAATCTGTCCATGTGTTCCACGTGGGTCCCATATGGGACCCGTATGGTCCGACGTGGGCTAATGCAGCGCTTTTTGCTTATGCATGGCCAGAAGATGGACAACCTTTGAACCAACCAGTCGGGTAAAATCATAAACTCCAATCTTGTCGAAAAAGGCGAAAGAGCGTCAGCGGGAGATCGTTATCGATTGTTTTTAACCCTCCCTCCCTCCCCAATGAAATTTATAATTTTTGAATATTTTTTATTTGATTTTTACCCTACCCCTCACTACCGCTCACGGTACTTGGAAAATGTTTGACCTCCTGAAAATTTGAAGGAAATTACAGATGGCAAATTTGGACGGCCTGTACCCCAAGCCTGGAAAAAGCGTTGGCTCTTGGTGAAATAATTTACTGGAACTTAATTATATTGTAAGACTATTTTTAACTTAAAGTGATAATTTTATTTCTGGTGAAATCTAAGTTATAATATTTGGTACATATAATTTAAAGTGCTCTTCACCTGTTGCGTAAGTCTACATTAAGCTTTACCTGGGAATTTTGGAAATCTGTGCGTACACTTTTAAAAGGCCTGGTTACGCCCCTGCTAGGTGCTCGAGTATGTGTCAGGCAATTAAGCTGATTCCGCTGTTTACACTTAACCCCTGCAGAGTTGGAGCAACCCTCGTGGTCCAATAGTGTATATGGGAATGGGATCAGATAAAAAATCACAACGTGAATTTGTCTTTAAAAAGGAAAACAAAACGGCTGTCTCACTTCATATTTTAAAACCTAATAAACAGCCTAAGCCTTGCAACATCCCCATGCAAATTCATTTTGAACGCCGCCTCATGCGGAATTGCACTATGGGACGTCCTGTAGGACCCCATAGTTAATTGTGTTAGAGGATTTTTTGAGCAAATATTTTTTCCAGCTCCCTGCGATTCTCAGCCGTGCTTAAATGGAGGGACGTGCCATCCAAAAAGCGACTCTTTCCATTGCGTTTGTCCCTCTCCTATCTTCGGACCCATTTGCAACAGAGGTAGGTCGTGGCTCTTTAAATTTCATACCGGGGGTGTAGACAACATATGCAGTTGTTATTACTTACCAGGTTATAAGTCATAAAAATGTTGTCGTTTTATTGGCGGTATATATAAACGCAATAAATAGTCTTTAAATAACGCAGTTTGTTACCGGGCAAAATTCATGTCGTTAATAATATGACACGATGACTTAAAATTACATACATTTATAAGGAAATGAGGACCCACTTTTAGAAATCTAGAACGAATAAAAAAACTACATAAATATACGAAAAACAAAACTAAATATAACAAAAACATCTGAACTACATAAGTTAAACTATAATGTACATTACCCTTACATTTTGTGCTATTTTCCCCTTCGAAATACACTGCAAACTACCCGGAATATGTTCTACGTTTGTACTGCTCCTCCCTGGCGATTGCCACTGCATAAATACTAGCTGGCCCACGCATTTGACTGAAAAATGGCTCATATTACCACCACTTCTGGCCACCAGGTCATGTCACTTCGTGCACTATAACATGGAGCCTGTTTCAGAAAAGTATTCTAGGCCGAAAGCGTGTCTCAACTTGTTGACCAATATACCGGGTATATATAGTGGCGGCCCCTTCGATTTCTGAATAATAATTCACCAATGATCTTCTCTTGAAATTAAAATTTTGACTAGCTGAATCATAGTTCTAAACCGTATCAAAAAACAAGGTTCGCCCTCTAAAATACCAACAATTTTTGGGACCCTTCAGCGGGCGCCGATCCCATGGGAAGATAAGGTTCGACTTTGCATCTGCGCAACCCTTCCCCCCACCCCTCATATAATCCTGGATCGCCCTTGTATAAACACATGTAGTACATTATTACCCAAGATCAATCGGTACCACACGAACGAAAAAATAAAATTTGGCGAATGTCTTATAGCAAGAAAGGGCTGTTTTAGACCATTGTTTAGTAGATCACTGCACATTAATCCTTAAAGGGGCATACAAACCAGGGGGGTGCTATCATAGTTGCTGAGATGATATTTAGTTACAGTGATGTCCAAAATTGTTTATCTTAAAGGGATCATAACTATTCGTATGAGATCTATATTTTACAATAAAAACATTGTGAATAACTCATAGAAATATAATATATTCTGTTTTACCACAAAAAAGGGCAGTTAGCTAGTATTCTGATATCTGAGTTTGTCTTTAGACCACGTGACCTCCATTGATGGCTATACTCTGTTAAAATCTCTTAAGAGATTTTAACAAAAAACCAAACTTTTTTAGAAAAAAACAGGGACTAACTTTGAATGTTAAAATGGATTCATTAACCATTGGTAAGTATAGGAAAATTGTTGTTTACTCCAGGAAAATTCTTTTTTTTTTTTTTTTTGGCCGAAACGAAGAGTTATTATCCCTTTAAATAATCATCACTATTCGATCTCTATATAATTAGTCAAAACGCAAAAAATTCTCTTCGCTGCAAAAAGGTATTTTACGTTTCCAGTGCCGTGTGGGGATAATGCGAAATGCGTTGTTGAAAAAAGAGGCGTGGTATATGACATGCCTCGTAATAACAATGGATGTAATCAAAAATTTCACCAATATTGTGTTTGTGAAAATGGCTTCGAAGGAGACCCCTATGTGAACTGCACTGGTAAGTTTTTTTCTAACTCCCAAGCCTTAAGTATTTCTAAACACTCCTTGGCCTTATTTGTTCAAAATATGGTCATAAAGTTTCTTCGAAGATGACTCCATAACGTACCTACCCTTAAGAAATTAAAGTTCCATAGATACTAAGAAGAGAAAAAGGAAAAGGAAATTGAATCAGGTTTTGTTTTATTGAATAATAACTAGTAGCCGTCGTAACATCCGGCATCCATGGACCTTAATCTGCACTGATGGTAAAGAACAAATAAAATCGTTAAAATTACGGATATGAGTATTTCATGCACAAGATTCACCAAACACTGTGAAATACAGGGTACATTACTGTGAGCTGTCGACCTGGTGTATGTGTTTTGTGCAATAAAAGTACTTTTGTCCTTGATTTTCAGTCTAAAGCTTCTTTTATCCAAGAAAAATCAAAGATAGATGTAATTAAGAAATCCGATAAATGAAACAGTGGCGCTCTGGTTTTATTACAGGAGACATGATGTGATTGCTCAAGGCCTATACTTTATTCGTGAAAGTGGACTACAGTGAATTTATCTTGAACTGAATTTGACCAAATTTTTGTCTGAAAGCTTAGACCCATTTAGAACTATAGCTTTTTGTGTAACTACAGGGTTACTACTTAATATGGAATTTTATCATTGTTATTTTTGAGTGCTGATTAAATTTCTTTTTGGCTTGATTCATCAAAAAAGTATGTATGTCATTGAGTGATAAAAATATCCAGTATTCTGCTGTGAGATACTTTGGTCAATAATATCAAATCTGACATAAGATATCATTCAAAAGAAAAGAACACCCCCAGAAAACCATATCAACAGTTTGATGTCAGTATTAGTTTTAAGCTAAGGTGTCAAAGAAAATGATAGCCTCCGGACAGTGATATGTTACACAGTCAAAGAACTCATTACAGTAAATCATGAAAGGTTATCAATAGCGGGTATGACCTCCAGCAGCCGCTTGCAGTGCCCTCATCCTACATGGCATACCCTGTGACAAGTTTTATAGAGTTTGGATGGGGATATCATTCCACGCATATTTGCCTGTCGCAGTTCATCACTATTTACCTACCGATGACCATAGCTATTAATTCTGTGAGTTACTTCCGCCCACAGATTTTCAATTGGGTATATATTTAGGAAGTTTGCAGGCCAGGGCAGTTGCTGAACCCATTGGTTTCGAAGAAAAACAGTGATTCTGCGAGATCGATGTGGGGTTGCGCAGTCGTCTTGGTACACAAAGTTGTTCCAGAAGATGACCCTTACAAATCGAAGCATTGTTTGCTGTAAAATGTCTTTGTAGGAACCCTGGTTGAGGTTGCCTCCTAGAAAAACCAACTGGTTCTGGGCCTGGTCATAAATTGCTCCCCAAACAGAGACGTTAACACCCCCTGCTTGCACCCTAGGCAGTACACAATCATCGTTTTATGCCTCTCGTACACGTCGGCGGACACGGATTCGACCGTCAACCTTAAAAACTCCATATCTGGCTTCATCACCGAAAACGACGTGATTCCAGTGTTTTGGCTGCAAACGCGCGTGGTCCCCAACCCATTGCAGACGTCGCTGTATATGACCTGCTGTTAACAGTTGTTTCCCTACTGGTCTTTGTGCAAAATAACCGGCTTGCAGTAATCTCTTGTTCACGAGGGACCTTGAAACGGGCGTTTGAATGACATTCTGCCACTCTTTTCTGAGGGCACTGGTTGTCTTTGTACGACCAGCACGGCGCACTCTAAGGAGAAGGCAATCCTGTCTTCTTGGTGTGATACGCAGACACCCTGGTCGAGGTATTGGAGTAGGTGCCCCTGTTGCAGCATTTCTTTGGAGGACTTTACTAACGGTTCCTGATAAATGTTGCATTGCCTGGCAATGGCTGTCCGTTTCTGGCCATTTTCTCTGACAGCAAGAATCCCATACTAAGCTGCGTTGCTTAGCTGTCGAACCGTATCTTTTCTAAGGTACCTGTCAAGTTTCAGAGCGATCCCTTTGTTGCTTCTCTAAATACACTCCAAAGATTGGTCAAACCCATGCGTTTTTATACAAGGGCAGAAATTGCCGAAAAGACCACCCCTCACATTTCTGACCACAGAACATGCAACTGCATGCATCAATTGTTTCGAGAGTTGTGTTGTAATAAGGTAACACACCCGGCTACGCATAGAGTGACACCTCAGTTTTGGATTTAAAGTAGTTAAAGATATAATAAATATTTTGTTGAAAATTAACTCGCCAAAAAATAATATTCCATATTAAGTAGTAACCCTGTAGTTTATGAGCTAAAACGATATATGCGTTTGGTTTTGAATTGTATATACGGTTGTCTGCCAGGAAAGGGTTCGAATTTAATTTTTTTTTTCCAGATATCAACGAGTGCAATAATCAGCCTTGCCTAAATAACGGTACCTGTAAAAATCGTGATGGCAGTTTCAAGTGCATGTGCCCTGGGGCTATATGGGGACCCACTTGCAATAGAGGTACGCTGTAGTTGTTTGTCGGAAAAATCAAATTTACAGGTATAACAATGAGATGTTACAGGTGGATGCCACAGCTTTTAATTAATAATACAACTGATATGAATGCGAGCAAGATGCTCTACAGTAGAAGGTTAGGTCAATCGGTTTTAGTATAATCCTCAGAAAATTACTAACATATTTCAATTATTGTCATGGCATAAATTTAAGTGAAGTGCGCCATGTGATAATGCTATTTTTGTCGACTCAAAGTGACAATAAATTTGGCTCTTCACTGCAAAACGGTATTTTACGTTTTCAGTGCCTTGTGGGGGAAATGCGAAATGCGTTGTTGAAAAAAAATGGGGATTAGAGGACAGGCTTATTAATAACGATGGATGCAATCAAAAAACTCACCAATTTTGTATTTGTGAAAATGGCTTCGAAGGTAACCCATATGTGAACTGCACTGGTAAGTCTTTTTTGAATTCCCGAGCTGTTGAGTGGAAAAAGTAATTCTGGTGCATTGTACCGGTATTTCGCTTCTCATACACTCAGAACATTTAAAATGATTTGCGCAAGGATTAACTGTATATCTAAGCTTACGCCTTCTCCTACAATGTGCCCATAAACACTCAAATGCTGAGCTTACCTACGCCCCGATGTTAATGTGCATCTGACACCTCATCAAATATTAATTGAATTGGGTAATGTTTTATCTGTTCAGCACCTGTTTGATTTTATGGACACATTTCTACTAAGAAGGCCAAACGTATCCAATTTTAAATCAAACTCTGACAAAAAAAAAAAAGGGTAGCATTTAATCCCATACTGTATATGAGTTATTATGTAGAAACTGAGCTCAAACGATCAAGCAGAAGTGATTGTTGGTTTGTGTGAGCTTTCATGCTTGTGCAGCACATATGTACACTTCACTGTTCTTTACAATTTTAACCACTTTGTTTTAAGCCACTTGTTTTCTTTAATATAAAAAAATTACACTTAAATACACACATACCATGTGGTGGAGTTAGGCAATGTAAGTATATAATTGGCATCTTTCCATTTGTTCCAGCCCAGTAATCAATTCCTAAGAGAGGACAAAAAGGAATCTTCCCGCAAATGACCACAAATAACCTATGATGAAATTGCAGCCGTTATTATTAAAGTAACAAATACTGAAACAAGAGTTGAATCAATGAAATTATATTGGCATTTACTGTAGCCATTCGGTTTATCAAAATGTCAATAAACAATTTTCGTCAAATAACAACTCGCTGCTATCATAATTTTCTTGTAAGAAAAATACCAGCTGAGGTTCATAGCTGTGTGATGACTTCCCCGATAGCAAGTGCCGAACTCTTAGGTAAATAATTCACTCTAGCCTGTGAACGTGACATTAACAGTATAAAAATTGTAATCGACTTGCCTTATTATTACCTTATATGTCCAGCTTAATTATGTTTATTTCATTTTCAGTTCATTACCATCATATGTTATCCGCCTTCATTATGTTTTTTTGGCTTGCCATATAATAATATTACCTTACATGTCCAGCTGTTTATTTCATTTTCATTTGATTACCATTATATGTTATCCACCTTTATTATAACAAGTTTTCTTACTTCAGTATAACCTAACTAATGTACATGTACACCCATTTGTTATTATTATTATTGTTATTATTATTTATTTATTTTTAATTTTTATTTTCTGGTTTAGTACAATGTATGTTCGTCTTCTATACAAGTGCATGTATTAGTAGCCGACTGTATCTAACTAAGATAGCCAACCCTAACATGTCCATTGTTATTATTACTATTTTTGTTTGTTGTGTGTCCTTAATAGTCCGGTTGCTTAGGGCAAAAAAATGGCCGAATCGTGACACGGCGGATAAAAGCACCAAATTTTGCATGTGGGTACCTTTTGACATACTAAATCAAATTAGAGCCGTAGCCCACAGAAAAAAATTACCGTTTGGCCAAAAAATCCAAAATGGCCGCCAATTTGTGAAATTCTGTAGAAATATATACATACCTATGTTTATTTTTATCAAATAAAGTATTTTCTCAATGTTTTCCACATCCTTATTACCCATATTATGCATATATGTCAGATAACAAACGAGTGTCCTTGGACTTTTTGAAAAATCCAAGATGGCCGCCATATGGCATAGAAATACTAGAACATGTACAAGGGTTTTCAACTAATGCCAACTAGGAAGATGCATTGCCCACTATCTAATTTATTTTGAGTGCCTTATTACAGAAATAATATAATTGTGGTGAGTAACTAACCTTTATTCTCAGGCATTTCGAGAAAAATCCAAGATGGCCACCATATCAAAGGAACACTATAGTATACACATATAGGGCTTCTTCTGCCATGGAGTTATAATATAAATTGATAAATTAGGTTTGTTTCTGAGTATTTTCCACATCTTTTTAATCCACATAATATATATGTGATGAGAATGTTATGTGTATCCTTTTTGAAAACAAAACAAAACAAAACAAAATGGCTACCATTAGCCATAGAAGGTGGGGTTAAGTTAATACCTGCAAGAGATAGGCTTCAACATAAAATGAAGCTAAATTCAGTTGTTTTTCTTTTATTATTATTATTATTATTATTATTATTATTATTATTTTTATCCCATGACACATATCTGTTAGGCAAATAATGTCCATATTTGGTCATTTTGGGGAAATCCAAGATGGCCTTCTTTTCCCCATAGGAAAACTGGTGCATTGGATTTTTTGGCACTTCTAAGGCAAATCAGGGTCATTATGATATTTTGTCAAAATACTTAAGGGTACACACTTGTTACCCACCAGATAGATATCTCAAAGTCCAAAAAGAATGTGGGAAATACCGAGAAACAAAATTCATATTATATTGAACCCAATGTCTCTCTGGCACTAGTTGACTGTACTATTCCTTTTGTGAATTGCAGCAATCTTGAATTTTCTCAAATACGCAAGATGCACACTTGCTACACACCAGATTTATATAGAGTATTGTTAATAAGGATGTCAACATGTTTGAACATCAAACGGCTTCATTTCATGTTGGAATCAATGTCTGAACTGTTCCATTAAATGACATTTTAAATGGCATTTGAATGATATATTCCTATCGCAACTGGCAGCTATCTTGGGTTTTCTCCGAATAGTACTCAAGGACACATACAATTTCTACACATAAAGAGTCTTTCAAAAGGACAAATAGAATATGAAAGGGAAAACATTTAAAACAATCTGAAGTTAACTGCATTTAAATTGTACTCAGTGTATCTCTGGCATTATTTGATTATATGTACGAATATTCTAATGACAAAAGGCAGACATCTTGAATTTTTTCAGAATACCCAAAGATATATACATGCTGCAGACGAGGTATACATCATAGGGGTAATAATAAATGGAAAGAAAAACGTAAATTATTTTTAAAACAAACCCATGGTAATGTAATTGTATAACGAACCACATGCAGCAATTGAAACCCACCCATTAGTATTCCTATGTCAAATTGTAGCTATCTTGGATTTTCTCAGAATATCCAAGGATGCACACTGTTTACCCACCAGATATATATCATATGACTAATAAGGATGGGCAAAACTTGATAAGCAAACACAATTTCACCCTGGTAGTAGATGAAAAGCCATGGATGTGCAGTTGTAATTCCGGTAGTATTCCTATGGCCAATGATGGCCATCTTGGATTTTCTCAAAATGATTAAATATGCACATTTATTACCTGCTAGATATGTATCACACTGTAATGATACTGTGTAAAACACTGAAAAAATAAACTGAATTTGATAGTGAATTATGTTTTTCCTAGCTGGCATTAGTTCTAACCCTTTGTAATACTAGAAGAATTCCTATGACATATGGCGGCCATCTTGGATTTTCTCAAAATGCCTAAGAATACATGTTAGTTACTCACCACATACATATTGTGTGGGTGGAAAGGATGTGGAAAACACTCAGAAACAAACTTAATTTGATAGTGGAAAATTAATCATTCCAGTTGCCATTAGTTGAATCCCTCCTATACTAGAATTCCTGTGGCATATGGCAGCCATCTTGGATTTTCCAAAATGCCCAAGAACACTTCGTAGTTACTCACCACAAACATATTATGTGGGTAACAAATATCTGAGAAACAGACTTAATTTGATAGTGGACAACGTATCTTTCTAGCTGGTATTAGTTGTGCACTAGTATTCCTATGGCTGTTTCTATGGCATATGACAGCCATCTTGGATTTTTTCAAAAAGTCCAAGGGAACTTGTTTGCTATCTGACATATATGAATAAAATGGGTAATTAGGGTGTGGAAAACTCTGAGAAAATAATTTATTTGATAAAAATCAACATGGGTATGTACATATTTCTAAAGAATTCCATAAATTGGCGGCCATTTTGGATTTTTGACCAAACGGTAAATTGTTTGAGAGGGCTACGGCTCTAATTTGATTTAGAATGTCAAAAGGTAAGTACATGCCAAATTTGGTGCTTTTATCCGCCGTGTCACGATTTTTTCCTTAAGCCACCGGACTATANAGTGTGTGGGTGTTTGTGTGCGATTCATAAGTCAAAAAATGTAAAAATGTAAGATTATATATTTATTTGCTACTGAAAAAAAAAAATTTTCGTCAATGCATGTGGAGTTTTTAAGGTGTTCTTAAATCTGAGCATCCGCTTAGCTTTTACTATGTAAGAGAGCCACATATGAGGACCTGCGCTCAATACTTCCTACAAAGAAAGTAAAGAACAGGAAGCAATCTTATGCAGAACTTGTGAAAAGGAGTTAGGTCCCCAGGTAAACGTGGTACAATTTGTAAAGCATGCCAATACAGTCAATATATGTAAACACTCTTGTTGAAAATAATGGAATATTCCAAAAGGGTATTATATTTCAATACGTTCAAATTAAGACAGAGCTCATTGGCGTTTATTATAATCCCAGGAGCGGATCCAGAATTTTTTAAGGGGGGGGGGGTGCTTTTAAGGATTGACAGGCCTCGGAGACCGAAACACCTTTTTTTTTAGTAAAATCTCAACCCTAAAAGCTGATACAAGGTCATCAGACAGTCAATTATGCCAAGTATTTAACAGTGCCAACAAATATATTTTTGTGTCCCTCTCCAATTTTATAACAAAATCATTCAAGAAAAGAAATGAAATGGTTGCTCTGCTTGGTAACTCTTAGCATATCCCGTAAAAATGTAAGTGTATGGTCCCGATGTTGTGAGAAGTGACTCACATATAAGAGCAGCGGTGAATTGTCGTGCGGTTTGGTCGTGTTTGGGATATGTTCCCCATATTTTTCCTCAATTTTACACGTTAATTTAAAAACATCTCAAATTTTGGAAAATATCTCCTGTCATTTAATATGACAAAAATGGTGATTTCGTTACATCTTTTAGATTCTTTTTCAGTCGAGCCCCACGACTTTCATTCATGACCCAAAAAAGATTAAAAAAGGCAAGAAAGGAACAATTAAAGACAACTTCGGTTCTACTACTGCATTGCCTGTGGTCCATTATTTCTTTTGAATACAACCTAGCATTGCACCTTTTAAAATTTTTGGTTTGGTACAAAAATTATACTTTGTAAGAATGAGAGAGAAAAGCGTATACTTTCTTTGATTGCGCCAGATTAGAAATATTTTTTGTGAGCAATGTGTTGTGAACTTGAAGCAAACAACTGAACTAGTTCACATCAGACTATCAGACTACAAGAACACTTCCTCCCTGTGCGAAAAAGAGAGAGTACGCGTGCGCACGTGTGTATATGATTTTAGTATTATAAAGAAAGTTTTATTTTAGGAAAAAAGTATGCACACCATAATACTTAAATGACCATTAATAATAATAATAATAATAATAATAATAATAATAATAATAATAATAATAATAAAAATAAAAATTATTTTGAGTTTAAAATCCATACTAACATGTTCAGAAGACTTTACGTATACATAAAACAAATTCTTAAGAAGTTAATTATTAGGAGTAGATAAATGAAAATTTACAGAACTTAACGACAAAAAATAAAAAAAAATATTATTAGTAGTATTCTCGATAAAATTTACGGATTCTCACATAAAAGCACATACAGTACATAACTAAAATATGTTTCTTATAAAAAAAGCAATCAGTTCTAGGAAAGAAACAGCCTTATTTGCACACAGAAAAGATTATAAGTAGAACATCTTTATTTCTCACAGTGCAAAAATGCAATTACTATAAAAT